AAGGGAAGGGATATGGGAAATGCAGGTATGTGATTAGTACTACTTATGCCAGTGCATTATGCAGGATTAGCAGCATCAAAGGGAGGGGATATGGGAAATGCAGGTATGTGATTAGTACTACTTGTGCCCGTGCATTATACCGAAAGAACCAAGAAGATGACTCTACAAAGCTCTTTATTTTTTTTCAAAAACTTCCAGAGTTACTTCTTAGTGACGTCATCGCGTAAAGTGGGGGGGGGTCACGTGCAGGGGCGATGACGTCATCACGCTGGGAGGCGCGCCACAAAAGAAACCGCCAAATGACGTCATCACGGCCGATAGTTACGTCACGCCGGTGTTGGTGACGCAGGAAGAGCGTGATGACGTCACAAGTTCTCCCAGTAAAAAAAATATGACGTCACAATACCTCCCTGTAACAAAGTAATGGCGTTACAATCCCTCCCGGTAAAAAAACTATAATTGCCTCTCAATCCCTCCCGGCAAAAAATAATGACGTAACAATACTTCCCAGTAAAAACACACTGTCCTGCGGAGGGAGCTGGTAGGAACGTCGGGTTGCTCGGTCAATGGCCTGCAGGGTCAACGGCGGCGTGGTGTATTCCGCAAATATGCCCGGCTGTGAGGGCGGGCACAAGCCGGCGTGAGTAGGTTAAACGTTGAGTTTTATAAGGGCACCACGGGGTGACCAGCCCCTTCCCACCCAGCCCCACCCCTCCCACCCAAGACCCAGCCCCACTACACCCTCCTCACCCAGCCCCTCCCCACCCAGCCCCTCCCTACCCTCCCCACCCCACCCAGCCCCTCCCTCCCCACCCTCCCCACCCAGCCCCTCCCTCCCCACCCTCCTCTCCCCACCCAGCCCCTCCCCACCCTCCCCACCCAGCCCCTCCCTACCCTCCCCACCCCACCCAGCCCCTCCCTCCCCACCCAGCCCCTCCCCACCCTCCTCTCCCCACCCAGCCCCTCCCCACCCAGCCCCTCCCCACCCAGCCCCTCCCCACTCAGCCCCTCCCTCCCCACCCAGCCCCTCCCCACCCAGCCCCTCCCATCACGACGGACACAATAATCCCCTGTGGGCTGGTGTAACCAGGAGGTTCCTACCAGTAAAATTGTGACGTTCAATACCTCCCGCTAAAAAGTAGTGACGTCACCATCCCTCCCAGTAAAAAATAACAACAATGACGTTGCAATCCCTCCAAGTAAAATAACAAAAAAACCCGATGGCGTCACCATCCCTCCCAGTAAAAAAAAAATAACAATGACGTTGCAATCCCTCCAAGTAAAATAACAAAAACCCTGATGACGTCACCATCCCTCCCAGCAAAAAAACAACAACAATGACGTTGCAATCCCTCCAAGTAAAATAACAAAAAACCCTGATGACGTCACCATCCCTCCCAGTAAAAACAACAACAATGACGTTGCAATCCCTCCAAGTAAAATAAAAAAAAAACGATGACGTCACCACCCCTCCCAGTAAAAAAAGATAACAATGACGTTGCAATCCCTCCAAGTAAAATAACAAAAAAACCGATGACGTCACCATCCCTCCCAGTAAAAAACAACAATGACGTTGCAATCCCTCCAAGTAAAATAACAAAAAAACCGATGACGTCACCATCCCTCCCAGTAAAAAAACAATAACAACAATGACGTTGCAATCCCTCCAAGTAAAATAACAAAAAAAACCTTATGACGTCATCATCCCTCCCAGTAAAAAAAAACAACAATGACGTTGCAATCCATCCAAGTAAAATAACAAAATCCCTGATGACGTCACCATCCCTCCCAGTAAAAAAAAACAACAATGACGTTGCAATCCCTCCAAGTAAAATAACAAAAAAAAACTCGATTACGTCACCATCCCTCCAAGTAAAATAACAACAAAACTCGATGACGTCACCATCCCTCCAAGTAAAATAACAAAAAAAAACCCGATGACGTCACAATCGCTCCCGGTGACATAATGACGTCACCGCGACAGGTGCGTACGGTGGCTGGCGCGCGAAGAAAGGCAAACACACAGAGAGAGAAGAAGAAAAAGAAACGCGATTGTAAAATAAAAAACTCGAGGGGCGCCTTTCCCGGCCGGAGGCTAAAATTAGAACCTGGAACGACGTTCGAAGATCGGATTTCGATTCGATTCCAACGTCGATTCCAACCCCCCCGGAATCGACGAGCGGTTTTACAACGTTGAGTCTGCCTCCAACTTTAGGTTAGGAGGATACGGATGGATGGACTTGGCCCCGGCCATACGAACGCGGAATGGGGGGGGGGGGGTGACGGGCCCAAAAGTCATCTCGGTCAGTCGACCCCGTGTGTGGTCACCACCTCGGTCTGCCCTGTGCCCTTCTATCCGGGGGGCTAGGAGGGCCACGTGGTCTCAACGTGCACCTAGCCTGGCACAAGCGACGTGGTTAGACGTCACCGCCACTTAGTGGCGAATGGCGGCTTGTTGTTGTTGGTGTAGCGGTGTCAACATCGCCACGAGAGAATGGCAGGCGTGGTTGCTGGCCACCCACACCCAATGATCCGATCGAAATCCATAATTTCGATAGATCGATAGATGGTGGGGTGACACGTGACCCCCCTCCCCCCCATGATCCCATCAAAATCCCTAATTTCGATAATTGGTGGGGTGACACGTGACCCACTCCCCCCCATGATCCCATCAAAATCCCTAATTTCGATAATTGGTGGGGTGACACGTGCCCCCCTCCCCCCATGATCCCATAAAAATCCTTAATTTCGATAGATGGTGGGGTAGCACGTGACCCCCTCCCCCCATGATCCCATAAAAATCCTTAATTTCGATGATTGGTGGGGTGACACGTGCCCCCCCCCCCCATGATCCCATAAAAATCCCTAATTTCGATAGATGGTGGGGTAGCACGTGACCCCCTCCCCCCCATGATCCCATAAAAATCCTTAATTTCGATGATTGGTGGGGTGACACGTGACCCCCCCCCCCCCATGATCCCATAAAAATCCCTAATTTCGATAATTGGTGGGGTGACACGTGACCCCCCCCCCCCATGATCCCATAAAAATCCTTAATTTCGATAATTGGTGGGGTGACACGTGACCCCCCCCCCCCCCCATGATCCCATAAAAATCCCTAATTTCGATAGATGGTGGGGTGGCACGTGCCCCCCTCCCCCCATGATCCCATAAAAATCCTTAATTTCGATAGATGGTGGGGTGACACGTGACCCTCCCCCCCCCCCCCCATGATCCCATCAAAATCCCTAATTTCGATAGATGCTGGGGTGACACGTGACCCCTCCCCCCCCCCATGATCCCATAAAAAATCCCTAATTTCGATAGATGGTGGGGTAGCACGTGACCCCTCCCCCCCCCATGATCCCATAAAAATCCCTCATTTCGATAGATGGTGGGGTGGCACGTGACCCCCCCCCCCCATGATCCCATGAAAATCCCTCATTTCGATCGGATCATTGGGGTTTATTAGTGATAAATCGGCATTTTACGAACCCCTACTACCACCGTGTAGCAGAATATTATCACGTGGCCAGGGACTCTGTGAGATGATAGCACAATAGTCTGAGTCCATAATTGGCGATAAGTAACGGCAAAGCATTTATACTCTTAGGTTTTTTCGGTAAAGTCACGTAGGTAAAAATTTTTTTTAATAAAAGTTAAATAAAAAATCACGACGTTTCGGAGGCAACACAAGCTTCCGTCTTCAGGTGGAACCGTCACAGCTCGATTGCTGTATCAAGCAAACGTCGTGATTTTTTTATTTTACTTTTATTAATTTTATTTTTTTACCTTCATGACTTTACCGAAAAAACCTAAGAGTATGAATCCTTGCAGTCACGAAAGCTTCAAATCTAAAGCATTTATAAGCGACTCACAGAATTGTTCGCAGTTGCGTATACAGAGTCCACGATTTTCCTGAAGGCATCAACACCTTCAGCGAGCACGATATCGATCACACAACGCGGATCGAATTCGACCCTCGATCAATGGTTGCTGACCAACTCTTCAGCTAACTCTACCTCCTCCCTGTGTTGCTGCTAATCCTACATAATGCACGGGCATAATATGACTTTGAGACCCCCCCCCCTCACCTCCTACGCATTCCACAAGTAGTGACTAATCCCATATCTGCATTTTGCATAAATACGCTAAATTCCTCTGTTGATATGTAAATTTCTTTGTCAAGGCGCCCTTCCTCCCCTAACCCAGCTTAAATATACGCTGCCAAGCTTGGTGGTGTTTCATTCAGACGCTGTCTTTCCGACAGACCTGTTCTTCACCTGAGGACGGCTGCTTGCGTTGTGGCCGAAACGTCGTGAGAATTGTATTTTATTATCTTTTATTTTTTATTATTTTATTATTTCCCTTCTACGTGATGACTTTACCGAAAGAACCAAGAAGATGAATCCCTGCAGTCACGAAAGAAGCTTTAAATCGAAATTTTATTATGTTTTATTTTTATTATTTTATTATTTCCCTTCCACGTGATTTCACCGAAAGAACCAAGAAGATGAATCCCTGCAGTCACGAAAGAAGCTTTAAATCGAAATTTTATTATGTTTTATTTTTATTATTTTATTATTTCCCTTCCACGTGATTTCACCGAAAGAACCAAGAAGATGAATCCCTGCAGTCACGAAAGAAGCTTTAAATCGAAATTTAAGTGGGTGTTGTTGTTGTTGTGACCTGCAGTGTTGGTTGTGGATGTCATGATGCGAATTCCATGGCCATGATTAGAGCCACAGGTTCCAGAAAGGAACTTTAATTGAGATAATTCGACGAAGCTGCAATCGACGCGTTCGATTCCTGGCGCGTGGAATCGATTCCAACATCAACACCAGCTGTTTCATTTGGAGACTCGGGGAGACACTGAGACACGGGGAGAGAGAGACACGCGGAGAGAGAGACACGGGGAGAGAGAGACACGGGGGGAGAGAGACACAGAGAGAGACACGGGGAGAGAGAGACACGGGGGGAGAGAGACACGGGGGGAGAGAGACACGCGGAGAGAGAGACACGGGGGGAGAGACAGAGAGAGAGACACGAGGGGAGAGAGACACGGGGAGAGAGACACAGAGAGAGAGACACAGAGAGAGAGACACGGGGGGAGAGAGAGACACGGAGAGAGAGACACACAGAGAGAGAGACACGGGGAGAGAGACAGGGAGAGAGACACTGCGAGACAGACACTGCGAGACAGAGACAAGGGGAGACACAGAGACACACAAGGATAGGGGAGACACAGAGAGGATAAGGGACAGGCAAGACCATCCAGATATGTAGACTGATAAGAGACAGAGAGACAGAAAAGTGCAGACAGGCAGACGGCATACACCCATTTACACACCCACAAAGACACGAAATTTTGGACAGACACACACACACAGACATCGACATTAATATCACTTGACACACACAGACACCCACACACACCCACAGACACACCTAGCAACACACACAGACACACCTAGACACACACAGACACACCTAGCAACACAGACACACACACCCACAGACACACCTAGACACACAGACAGACACACACAGACACACCTAGCAACACACACACAGACACACCTAGCAACACAGACACACACACACAGACACACCTAGACACACACAGACACACCTAGCAACACAGACACACACAGACACACCTAGCAACACACACACAGACACACCTAGCAACACACACAGACACACACACACAGACACACCTAGCAACACACACAGACACACCTAGACACACACACAGACAGACACACACCTAGATACACACACAGACACACAGACACACCTAGACACACACACAGACACACGCACACCTAGACACACAGACAGACACACAGACACACCTAGCAACACACACAGACACACCTTGCAACACAGACACACACAGACACACCGAGACACACACACAGACACACACACACCTAGACACACAGACAGACACACACACAGACACACACAGACATACAGACACACAGACACACACAGACACACACACAGACACACCTAGACGCACACACACAGACACACCTAGCAACACAGACAGACACACCGAGACACACACACAACCACTCACACACCTAGACACACAGACACACACACACAGACAGACACACACACACAGACACACAGACAGACACACAGACAGACACACACCTAGCCACAGACACACACACAAAGACACACACAGACAGACACACACACCTAGACACACACACAGACAGACACACAGACAGAAACACAGACAGACACACACAAATAGACACACACACAAAGACACACACACAGACAGACACACACACAGACAGACACACACAGACACACACACAGACACACAGACAGACACACACAGACAGACACACACACACAGACAGACACACACACACAGACACACACACATACATACACATACACACACAGACACACACACAGACACACACAGACACACACACAGACACACACACCTAGCCACACACACAGACACACACACACAGACAGACACACACACACCTAGACAGACACACACAGACACACACACACCTAGCCACACACACACAGACACACAGACAGACACAGACACACACAGACACACACCTAGACACATACACACAGACACACACACACACACCTAGACACACACAGACAGACACACACAGACATACACACACCTAGACAGACACACAGACACACACACACAGACATACACACAGACACACACACACACACACCTAGACAGACACACACAGACAGACACGGCCACGCCATGGCCAGCTTCTCGTCTCGCCAGCGGCTGAGACACGGTCGCGCTGTGCCGGAGCTGAGACCCGAGTTCATGTCTCTGCTGGTGCAAGCGACGGCTCGGACCACCACCAGCAACAACAACAACCACAACCACCAGCAGCACCACCACCACCAGCACCACCTCAACCACCTGAACCACCTCCAGCAGCTGAACCAGCAGCAGCAGCAGAAAGGAGCAGCACCACGTGGTACAGAGCATCTGGCAGCGAGGAGAGAGTCAATGAACCTGCCCGAGTCGGACTGCATGAGGCTTAACCCCTCCCTCCGTGGCATCGCCTTCAGGTGACCGTGGTGGTGGTGGTGGTGGAGGTGGTGGTGGAGGTGGAGGTGGTGGTGGAGGTGGTGGTGGTGGAGGTGGTGGTGGAGGTGGTGGTAGTGGAGGTGGTGATGGTGGTGGTGGTGGTGATGGAGGTGGTGGTGGAGGTGGTGGTGGAGGTGGTGATGGTGGTGGTGGAGGTGGTGGTGGAGGTGGTGGTGGTGGAGGTGGTGATGGTGGTGGAGGTGGTAATGGTGGTGGTGGTGGAGGTGGTGGTGGAGGTGGTGATGGTGGTGGTGGAGGTGGTGGTGAGTGGAGGTGGTGGTGGTGAGTGGAGGTGGTGGTGATGTTGGTGGTGATGGAGGTGGTGGTGAGTGGAGGTGGTGGTGATGGTGGTGGTGAGTGGAGGTGGTGGTGATGGTGGTGGTGGTGAGTGGAGGTGGTGGTGGTGGTGGAGGTGATGGAGGTGGAGGTGGTGGAGGTGGTGATCGTGGAGGTGGTGGAGGTGGTGATGGTGGAGGTGGTGGAGGTGGTGATGGAGGTGGTGAAGGTGGTGGTGGTGGAGGTGGTGGTGGTGGTGATGGTGGTGGAGGTGGTGGTGATGTTGGAGGTGGTGGTGATGGTGGTGGTGAGTGGAGGTGGTGGAGGTGGACGTGGTGGTGGAGGTGGTGGTGGTGGAGGTGGTGGTGGTGGTGATGGTGGAGATGGTGGAGGTGGAGGTGGTGGTGGAGGAGGTGGTGGTGGAGGTGGTGGTGGAGGTAGTGGTGGTGGTGGAGGTGGTGGAGGTGGTAGTGGAGGTGGTGGTGGAGGTGGTGGTGGAGGTGATGGTGGTGGAGGTGGTGGTGGTGATGGTGGAGGTGGTGGTGGTGGTGGTGGAGGTGGTGGTGGTGATGGAGGTGGTGGAGGTGGTGGTGATGGTGGAGGTGATGGTGGTGGTGATGGTGGTGGTGGAGGTGGTAGTGGGGGTGGTGGTGGAGGTGGTGATGGTGGAGGTGGTGGTGGTGGAGGTGGTGGTGGAGGTGGTGGAGGTGGAGGTGGTGATGAAGGTGGTGGTGGAGGTGATGGTGGTGGTGATGGTGGAGGTGATGGTTGAGGTGGTGGTGGTGATGGTGGTGGATGTGGTGGTGATGTTGGTGGTGATGGAGGTGGTGGTAAGTGGAGGTGGTGGTGATGGTGGTGAGTGGAGGTGGTGATGGTGGTGGTGGTGGAGGTGGTGGAGGTGGTGATGGTGGTGGTGGAGGTGGTGGTGGTGATGGTGGTGGAGGTGAGTGGAAGTGGTGATGGTGGTGGTGGTGGAGGTGGTGGAGGTGGTGATGGTGGTGGTGGAGGTGGTGGTGATGGTGGAGGTGGTGGAGGTGGTGATGGTGGAGGTGGTGGTGGTGGAGGTGGTGGTGGTAGTGATGGTGGTGGAGGTAGTGGAGGTGGTGGTGGTGGAGGTGGTGGTGGTGGTGAGTGGAGGTGGTGGAGGTGGACGTGGTGATGGAGGTGGTGGTGGTGGTGGTGATGGTGGTGGTGGAGGTGGTGGTGATGGTGGTGGTGGAGGTGGTGGTGGTGGAGGTGGTGGTGGTGATGGTGGTGGTGGAGGTGGTGGTGGTGGAGGTGGTGGTGGTGGTGATGGTGGTGGTGATGGTGGTGGTGGTGGTGATGATGATGGTGGTGGTGGTGGAGGTGGTGGTGGTGAGTGGAGGTGATGGTGGTGGAGGTACTCGTGGTGGTGATGGTGGAGGTGATGGTGGAGGTGGTGGTGGTGGTGGTGATGGTGGAGGTGGTGGAGGTGGTGGAGGTGGTGGAGGTGGTGGTGGTGGAGGTGATGGTGGTGGTGGTGGAGGTGGAGGTGGTGATGGTGATGGTGGTGGTGGTGGAGGTGGTGGTGGTAGTGGTGGAGGTGGTGGTGGTGGTGGTGGTGGAGGTGGTGATGGTGGTAGTGGTGGTGGTGATGGTGGTGGAGGTGGGGGTGATGGTGGTGGTGGTGGAGGTGGTGGTGGAGGTGGAGGTGATGGTGGTGGTGGTGGTGGTAGTGGAGGTGGTGGTGGTGGAGGTGGTGGTGGTGGTCATGGTGGAGGTGGTGGTGGTGGTGGTGGAGGTGGTGGTGGTGGTGGTGGTGGAGGTGATGGTGGTGGTGGTGATGGTGGTGGTGATGGTGGTGGAGGTGGTGGTGGTGGTGGTGGAGGTGATGGTGGTGGTGATGGTGGTGATGGTGGTAGTGGAGGTGGTGGTGGTGATGGTGGTGGTGATGGAGGTGGTGGTGGTGGTGGTGGTGATGGTAGTGGTGGTGGTGGTGGTGATGGTGGTGGAGGTGGTGGTGGAGGTGGTGATGGTAGTGGTGGAGGTGGTGGTGGTGATGGTGGTGGAGGTGACCATGGTGGTGGTGGTGGTGGAGGTGGTGGTGGTGGTGGTGGAGGTGGTGGTGGTGGAGGTGGTGGTGGTGGTGGAGGTGGTGATGGTGGTGGAGGTGGTGGAGGTGGTAGTGGTGGTGGAAATTGTTAATGGTGGAGATGATAAGGAGGTGATTGATGGTGGAGACTGGTGTTGGTGATGGTGAGGAGGGGGTGATGATGGAGGAGGTGGTTGATGGTGGTGGTGATGGTGGTGGAGGTGGTGGTGGAGGTGGTGATGGTAGTGGTGGAGGTGGTGGTGGTGATGGTGGTGGAGGTGACCATGGTGGTGGTGGTGGTGGAGGTGGTGGTGGTGGTGGTGGTGGAGGTGGTGGTGGTGGAGGTGGTGGTGGTGGTGGTGGAGGTGGTGATGGTGGTGGAGGTGGTGGAGGTGGTAGTGGTGGTGGAAATTGTTAATGGTGGAGATGATAAGGAGGTGATTGATGGTGGAGACTGGTGTTGGTGATGGTGAGGAGGGGGTGATGATGGAGGAGGTGGTTGATGGTGGTGGTGGTGGAGGTGATGGTGGTGGTGGAGGTGGTGGTGGAGGTGATTGTGGTGGTGATGGTGGTGGTGATGATGGTGGTGGTGGTGGAAGTGATGGTGGATGATGGTGGTGGTGATGATGGTGGTGGTGGAGGAGGTGATGGTGGTGGTGCAAATTAATGGTGGAGATTGTGAGGAGGTGATGATGATAATGACGGTGGTGGATATAATGAGGTGATTGATGTGTATAATTATTGATTGGTGGACACTGGTGTGGCGTTGGTGATGGTGAGGAGGGGGTGATGATGATGGTGCTGGTGGAGATGATGAGGAAGTGATGATGGTGGTGGTGACAGCGGTGGTGACAGCGGTGGTGGCGAAGGTGTGGAGGTGGTGATGGTGGAAGTGATTGATGTTGGTGATGACGACAGTGATTGTGATAGTGGTACTGTATATGACGGATGGGGTGATGGTTGTGGACGAGATGGTTTGGTGGTGGTTGTGATGGTGGTGATCGGAGTTTGTGGTGGAGGCGATGATGGTTGTGGAGGAGGCGATGGTGATTGGTTGCTTTGAAGACGCCGATCCTCTTGATGTCATCCACATGCAGGTCCCCGATTGCCTCTGTCTGCTTTTCCCCTTCATCATCATCATCATCACCACAGCCCCGATGTATGTGTTTTCCACATGCAGGTCCTTAATGCTTGTGACGTTGCCTCTGATTCCAAGAACACAGGATGAGATGTTACTATCCTTTGTGCAAGCACTTCCAAGAGTTCATGAACAGTGAGCCTGGTGAAATTTGGGGAGCGCATCGTCAGTAGTGAACCTTTGGTTCCTAGGGTGTTTCGGCCTTTCACACTATACACCCTCCCCAAAGGCGGCCAGCGACAGGGTGATCAATCCTACACTTGCGTCCCATTCCCAATTAGTCATAAGAGTTGCCTTGTTGTTGATAGCCAACTTACATAGAGACCCACACAGACTTACACAGACTTACATAGAGACCCACAGAGACTTACACAGAGACCCACAGAGACTTACACAGAGACCCACAGAGACTTACACAGAAACCCACACAGACTTACATAGAGACCCACAGAGACTTACACAGAGACCCACAGAGACTTACACAGAGACCCACACAGACTTACACAGAGACCCACACAGACTTACACAGAGACCCACAAAGACTTACACAGAGACCCACACAGACTTACAGAGACACCCACAGAGACTTACACAGAGACCCACACAGATTCCAAAGAACACAGGATGAGATGTTACTATCCAGTGTGCAAGCACTTCCAAGAGTTCATGAACAGCGAGCCTGGTGAAATTTGGGGAGCGCATCGTCAGTAGTGTACCTTTGGTTCCTAGGGTGTTTCGGCCTTTCACACTATACACCCTCCCCAAAGGCGGCCAGCGACAGGGTGATCAATCCTACGCTTGCGTCCCATTCCCAATTAGTCATAGGAGTTGCCTTGTTGTTGATAGCCAACATCCCCTCTGTCTGCTCTTCCACTTGACATAACCGCAGCCCCGCCGCTTGTGTTTTCCGCATGCAGGTCACTGGTGGCGGTGGACCTGAGCGCATCTCGCGGCCTGGTCGCGTGGTGTGGCTCTCGACAGATGCTTCGGGTGCTGGGGTTGACGGGACACGGAGCGGCCTGGGTCGGGGGGACCGCCTACTGCCTCTGGCAGAGCGACTCAGCGGCCGGGAGGGAAGTCTTGCTCAACCTACTGCTGGGTGAGCTGGTGGCGGCGGTGACGACGGTGATGACGGTGGTGACGACGGTGGTGACGATGGTGACGATGGTGATGACGATGGTGGTGACGACGGTGGTGACGACGGTGGTGACGATGATGATGGTGATGATGACGGTGGTGACGATGGTGGTGACATCGGTGATGACGGTGGTGACGATGGTGGTGACGACGGTGATGACGGTGATGACGACGGTGATGACATCGGTGGTGACGACGGTGGTGATGACGGTGATGACGATGGTGATGACGACGGTCGTGACGATGGTGGTGACGACGGTGATGACGGTGATGACGACGGTGATGACATCGGTGGTGACGACGGTGGTGATGACGGTGATGACGATGGTGATGACGACGGTCGTGACGATGGTGGTGACGACGGTGATGACGACGGTGATGACATCGGTGGTGACGGTGATGACGATGGTGGTGACATCGGTGATGACGGTGATGACGATGGTGGTGACATCGGTGGTGATGGTGATGACGATGGTGGTGACGACGGTGGTGACGACGGTGGTGACGATGATGATGGTGATGATGACGGTGGTGACGATGGTGGTGACATCGGTGATGACGGTGGTGACGATGGTGGTGACGACGGTGATGACGGTGATGACGACGGTGATGACATCGGTGGTGACGACGGTGGTGATGACGGTGATGACGATGGTGATGACGACGGTCGTGACGATGGTGGTGACGACGGTGATGACGGTGATGACGACGGTGATGACATCGGTGGTGACGGTGATGACGATGGTGGTGACATCGGTGATGACGGTGATGACGATGGTGGTGACGACGGTGATGACGACGGTGATGACATCGGTGGTGACGGTGATGACGATGGTGGTGACGACGGTGATGACGACGGTGGTGACATCGGTGGTGATGGAGATGACGATGGTGGTGACGACGGTTACGATGGTGGTGACGGTGATGACGATGGTGGTGACGGTGATGACGATGGTGGTGACGACGGTGATGACGGCGGTGGTGACATCGGTGGTGATGACGGTGGTGGTGACGTTGATGACGACGGTGATGACGATGGTGGTAATGGTGGTGACGACGATGACGGCGGTGGTGACGACGGTGGTGACGATGATGTACAGTGATGATGACGGCGGTGACGGTGATGACGACGGTGGTGATGACGGTGAAGCTGGCAGCCCCTCCCCTTATTATCATGTCCCCGCCCATTTTTACATAAACACACCCACTCAGCCTCTAGCACCTGTATACAGCCATCCCGCCCCCGCAACATAAAGATAGTAGTAGGTTTTTACCCTTTCAACTGGTACAAAAACTGACACCTTTGTACAAGGGATCAATAACCACAACACAAGCAGTCAAATGCAAACAAAAAGAAACAACTCTGATGATGATAATGATATGCACTGCCCTTGAAGTTGATTGGTCCACACCCGAGACAGCTTTTCTTAGAGCCTAGTCTCCATTGGTGTTGGACCAGATGACGCCAAAAGGCGCACAACTCAAAAACAGCGCACTATCAGAGTATGAGAGCTCGAGGTGAAGCATTTACACTATGAGACATCTTTTACCAGTGGCAAAATATAGTGATAGGTTTTTACCCTTTCAACTGGTACAAAAACTGACACCTTTATACAAGGCATCATGTTTGCAATAACCACAACACAAGCAGTCAAATACAAACAAAAAGAAACAACTCTGATGATGATAATGATATGCACTGCCCTTGAAGTTGATTGGTCCACACCTGAGACAGCTTTTCTTAGAGGGCAGTACATATCATTATCATCATCAGAGTTGGTTCTTTTTGTTTGCATTTTACTGCTTGTGTTGTGGTTATTGCAAACATGATGCCTTGTATAAAGGTGTCAGTTTTTGTACCAGTTGAAAGGGTAAAAACCTACTACTATATTTTGCCACTGGTAAAGGAGATGTCTCATAGTAGAACAACATAAATAATCGTAATATAATACCAAAAATACGAATGTGCGCGTGTGTGTGTATATAAAATCGTCACTCAAACAGCAACAGCAGCAGCAGCAGTCATGGTGGCGGCAAAACAACCAGGCCAGAACACCGGGTCCAGGACTGCGTTATTTTCGTCGTCGCCCGTTACGTTTTCGAGAGCTGGGCGGATATTTTTGGGGTTGGCGTTGGCAGTGGGGAGGTGGTGGTGGGTGGTGAGGGTCACGTGGTCACGTGGCCCCGCGGGCCGATTCTAAATAACCTCGCCTGGCGGAGCGAGAGTTTTCGACGCCACCGCCCTCTGTCTGCGTGTGCCTGTCACTAGCACTGCTGCATCACTCCCAGAGCCGCATTCATGGTGACTTGAGACCGGATCTCGGGGTCAGTGACTTGAGACCGGGTCTCAGGGTCGGTGACTTGAGACCGGGTCTCAGGGTCGGTGACTTGAGACCGGGTCTCAGGGGGGTCGGTGACTTGAGACCGGGTCTCAGGGTCAGTGACTTGAGACCGGATCTCGGGGTCAATGTCTTGAGACCGGGTCTCAGGGTCAGTGTCTTGAGACCGGGTCTCAGGGTCAGTGTCTTGAGACCGGGTCTCAGGGTCGGTGACTTGAGACCGGGTCTCAGGGTCGGTGTCTTGAGACCGGGTCTCAGGGTCGGTGTCTTGAGACCGGGTCTCAGGGTCGGTGTCTCGAGACCGGGTCTCAGGGTCGGTGACTTGAGACCGGGTCTCAGGGTCAGTGTCTTGAGAACGGGTCTCGGTCAGTGTCTTGAGACCGGGTCTCAGGGTCGGTGTCTTGAGACCGGGTCTCAGGGTCGGTGACTTGAGACCGGGTCTCGGGGTCAGTGACTTGAGACCAGGTCTCAGGGTCAGTATCTTGAGACCGGGTCTCAGGGGTCGGTGACTTGAGACCAGGTCTCAGGGTCAGTGTCTTGAGACCAGGTCTCAGGGTCGCTGACTTGAGACCGGGTCTCAGGGTCGGTGACTTGAGACCGGGTCTCAGGGTCAGTATCTTGAGACCGGGTCTCAGGGGTCGGTGACTTGAGACCGGGTCTCAGGGTCAGTATCTTGAGACCGGGTCTCAGGGGTCGGTGACTTGAGACCGGGTCTCAGGGTCAGTATCTTGAGACCGGGTCTCAGGGTCGGTGACTTGAGACCGGGTCTTAGGGTCAGTGTCTTGAGACCGGGTCTCAGGGTCAGTGTCTTGAGACCGGGTCTCAGGGTCAGTATCTTGAGACCGGGTCTCAGGGTCAGTGTCTTGAGACCGGGTCTCAGGGTCAGTGTCTTGAGACCGGGTCTCAGGGTCAGTATCTTGAGACCGGGTCTCGGGGTCAGTATCTTGAGACCGGGTCTCAGGGTCAGTATCTTGAGACCGGGTCTCAGGGTCAGTGTCTTGAGACCGGGTCTCAGGGGTCGGTGACTTGAGACCGGGTCTCAGGGTGGGTGACTTGAGACCGGGTCTCAGGGTCGTGACTTGAGACCGGGTCTCAGGGTCGGTGTCTTGAGACCGGGTCTCAGGGGTCGGTGACTTGAGACCGGGTCTCAGGGTCGGTGACTTGAGACCGGGTCTCAGGGTCAGTATCTTGAGACCGGGTCTCAGGGTCGGTGACTTGAGACCGGGTCTCAGGGTCAGTGTCTTGAGACCGGGTCTCGGGGTCAGTGACTTGAGACCAGGTCTCAGGGTCAGTATCTTGAGACCGGGTCTCAGGGTCAGTGTCTTGAGACCGGGTCTCAAGGTCGGTGACTTGAGACCGGGTCTCAGGGTCAGTGTCTTGAGACCGGGTCTCAGGGGTCGGTGTCTTGAGACCGGGTCTCAGGGTCGGTGACTTGAGACCGGGTCTCAGGGTCGGTGTCTCGAGACCGGGTCTCAGGGGTCGGTGTCTCGAGACCGGGTCTCAGAGTCCGCGTCTTCTCCCCGCTCCTGCCCTTGCCCCTGCGCTCCCAGCGCTGATCTTCGACATCGTCGTCGCCGTCACCATCAAGGGCCTGGTGCGCCGCAAGGGCCCCTCCTACTGCGACCCAGCCGCCCCTCACCACCCTCCGCAGCGCGGCGCGCCATCCTCGCCCTTCGCCTCCTCCTCCCCCTTCTCGAGCGCCGTCTCCCTCGCCGCCTCCGCCCCGCCCGCCCCCTACTACTCCTCGTCAGCCTCCCCGACGTTCTACGCCGGCGCCGGCGGCAGGAACCCCGCCGGCGCCGCCGCCCCGTCCGCCCCGTCCCGCCTGCTCCCGCCGCTGCTCCGCCGGGCCCTGGAGGCTTCGGCCTTCTCGTTCCCCGCCAACCAGGCGACGCGCGCCGCCCTGCTGGTGCTCTTCTTGCCGCGCCACCTGGTGCTGGGCTTCCCGCTGCGCGTGCTGCTGCTGCTGTGGGCGCTGCTGGTGGGGCTGCTGCGCGTCGCGCTGGGCCACCACTACGTCACCGACGTGCTGTGCGGATTCGCCGTCGGCTGCGCGGAGGCTCGCCTCGTCGAGGCCCTCTGGGTGTCGGCCGCTGGCTTCCAGGCGCTCGCCAGGGCCGTGGGGCTGCCGGTGTGAGTGGCGGTGGTTGGTGGTGGTGGTGGGGAGGGGGGGTGAGGGGTGGTTTGGTTTATGGGTAGGGTGGTGGTGGTGGTGGTGGGTGGGGAGGGGGGGTGTGCGGTGGTGTGGTGAGGGTGAGGGGTAGTGTGGTTGATGGGTAGTGTGGTGGTGGTGGGTGGGGAGGGGGGGGTGGGCGGTGGTGTGGTGAGGGTGAGGGGTGATGTGGTTGATGGGTAGGGTGGTGGTGGGTGGGGAGGGGGGTGTGAGGTGGTGTGGTGGGGGTGAGGTTGATGGGTAGGGTGGTGGTGGTGGGTGGGTGGCGAGGGGGGAGGGGGGTGTGCGGTGGTGTGGTGAGGGTGAGGGGTGGTTTGGTTGATGGGTAGGGTGGTGGTGGTGGGTGGGGAGGGGGTGTGCGGTGGTGTGGTAAACGGTAATGTGGTTAACGTTGAGGGTGGTAGTGTCAAGGCCCTCGCCAGGGCTGTAGACCTGCTGCCGTGAGTGGGTGATGGGGGCTAAATGGCGCGGCACGGGCTGGAGAAGAGATTGAAACTGATGCGGTACGGGAGGACGTGGAGCTGAGCGGACTTGCCGGTGACCGGTACCAGCGGTGTCAAGATCGCCCTCCGTGGAGGAGGAGGAGGAGGCTGTCGGGCACTTTGAGGCCTCCAGCAGCAGCGGAGGGCTGAGCAACGGCGCTCACAACAACGAGCGGAGCGCCGGGTGGATAAAACGGAGCGAGTTTACAAAGCACGGGCGGTGGTCCATTTGCCGGTCATCTCATGCCGGTCGACCCATCGCACCGCCTGGGTCTGTCCGGTGACCTCCGGCCGGCGGCAGCCTTCGACGTTACCATCTGGGACGGCACAAGCGCCGGCGGTGACGTCACCGCCGCTTAGCGGTGAACGGCGGTCGTTGTTTTTGTCGGTGTCGTCGCTGCGTCTGGTTGGACGTGGGTTTCTTTGAAATGTCATTTTTTTCGAGCGGATAGAATGGGAGGGAGGGAGGTTGGGATATTTGGTTGTGTGGGCTTCGTGAAATCCTAGAAGTTTGTAATACTTTTACACGAAATTTCGTATTCAACCCGCCACGACCACAATGGGGTTTTTTTGAACGATTTAATATTTTTGCGGAAATGGTTTTGACGTCGGCGTTTATCTCCAAGCGGATCAGTGCCTACCTTATTACAAACCAATTCAGACCTCACTGGTCATCCCGTGCCACTTATAAACTCAATGTTCATCCGACAAAGTTCCATCAGCAAGGGAGAAACACACCGTATAGACCTGAAAACTCAATTTCCCCTCTACAAGAATACGGCGTAAATCGTATGGGTTGACAGCTATTCACTACACAGTGTCTCACTACCAGTGTCTCACCATCTGTGTCTCACCACCAGTGTTTCACTACCCAGTGTCTCACTACCAGTGTCTCACTACCCAGTGTTTCACTACCCAGTGTCTCACTACCCAGTGTCTCACTACCCAGTGTCTCACTACCCAGTGTCTCACTAGCAGTGTCTCACTACCAGTGTCTCACTACCCAGTGTCTCACTACCCAGTGTCTCACTACCCAGTGTCTCACTACCCAGTGTCTCACTACCCAGTGTCTCACTACCCAGTGTCTCACCATCTGTGTCTCACCACCAGTGTTTCACTACCCAGTGTCTCACTACCAGTGTCTCACTACCCAGTGTTTCACTACCCAGTGTCTCACTACCCAGTGTCTCACTACCCAGTGTCTCACTACCCAGTGTCTCACTACCCAGTGTCTCACCACCAGTGTCTCACTACCCAGTGTCTCACCACCCAGTGTCTCACTAGCAGTGTATCACAACCCAGTGTCTCACCACCCAGTGTCTCACCACCCAGTGTCTCTCTACCCAGTGTATCACTACCCAGTGTCTCACCACCCAGTGTCTCTCTACCCAGTGTCTCACTACCCAGTGTCTCACTACCCAGTGTTTCACTACCCAGTGTCTCACAACCCAGTGTCTCACCACCCAGTGTCTCACTACCCAGTGTCTCACCACCAGTGTCTCACTGCCAGTGTCTCTGTACCAGTGGTTCACGACCATACCTGTCAACCCTCCCTCATTACAGACCACTCCGTGACCTGATGAATCTTCAACATTCACCCTACAAAGTCCGATCGCAAGGGAGCAACACAAACAAATACCCAATAACAATATACTCGCATTGAAACGGCTGTACACCGTATGAATCTAAAAGGAAAATTTCCCCCGTACAAGAATACGGGGTGAACGGGATGGGTTGACACGGTATGAAGGTTAAACCGCTTGGGGGGGGAGGGGGGAAAAAATAAAAACCCGTTTAGATAGTAATCGTGGATGAATTACACGCACATATTTATATCCGTTTTGCGTTCGCGATCACTGTTACGATTCACAATCCGATCCTTTCCGGGTCCCGATTGCGTCGGTAATTTCATGATCCCTCTCGCCAAGAAAAAGAAACGGAGCGTCGTTGCGAATCGTCGAATCGCGGGAAAGTCACAAGTTCGGCGAGATTTTCAATCGCCGCAAAGCGCAAACGGAACCGTCGACGGCCGATGGGATGTGTTTTAGTAAAAAGTAATATTTAAAAATAATTTTAAAAATTCTAGATTTGAAGCTTTCGTGACTGCAAGGATTTCATACTCTTAGGTTTTTTTTCGGTAAAGTCACGTAGGTAGAAAATAATGAAAATAAAATAATAATAAATGAAAATAAATCAATTAAATCACGACGTTTCGGAGGCAACAGCTGTGACGGTCCCACCTGAAGACGGAGACTTGTGTTGCCTCCGAAACGTCGTGATTTAATTGATTTATCTTCAAGAAGATGAATCCCTGCAGTCACGAAAGCTTTAAATCGAAAATTAATTGATTTATTTTCATTTATTATTATTTTATTTTTATTATTTTTCCCTACGTGACTTTACCGAAAAAAATCTAAGAGTATAATTTAAAAAAACACGCTTTTATGAAATGTACCAGTAATGGCAGAACTCCACGACTCCATGAGGTGGCCCCGAAGCTTGCCACAACGTAAGGGGGCCGTGGTGATGTACATCCAACGTCAGTTGAGCGTTGACAATTAGACCCAAGCCGAAACATAACATGTAAAACATGTAAAAAAATGTTTTTTTACATTTTTATGATAGAATATAGTACTGTCATCAGTATGACATAAGTATACCAAATTTGCAGTCGATGCCACATTGGGAAGTGGGTTAAAATGGAGTTACAAGATTTGAAGATACGACAACAACAACAGACAGAGTGAGTTACATAAAAGCGTGTAATAAAAAAAATCAAACAACACTTCTCGACAAAAACGTCGGTCCAACTTTGGCACGAGGTTGCGACTGAACGTCAGTTCAACGTCGATCCAACTTTGGCACGCGGTTGCAACTGAACGTCAGTTCAACGTCGGTCCAACTTTGGCACGCGGTTGTGAGTGAACGTTAGTTCAACGTCGGTCCAACTTTGGCACGCGGTTGCGACTGAACGTCAGTTCAACGTCGGTCCAACTTTGGCACGCGGTTGCGACTGAACGTCAGTTCAACGTCGGTCCAACTTTGGCACGCGGTTGCGACTGAACGTCAGTTCAACGTCGGTCCAACTTTGGCACGAGGTTGCGACTGAACGTCAGTTCAACGTCGATCCAACTTTGGCACGCGGTTGCAACTGAACGTCAGTTCAACGTCGGTCCAACTTTGGCACGCGGTTGTGAGTGAACGTTAGTTCAACGTCGGTCCAACTTTGGCACGCGGTTGCGACTGAACGTCAGTTCAACGTCGGTCCAACTTTGGCACGCGGTTGCGACTGAACGTCAGTTCAACGTCGGTCCAACTTTGGCACGCGGTTGCGACTGAACGTCAGTTCAACGTCGGTCCAACTTTGGCACGAGGTTGCGACTGAACGTCAGTTCAACGTCGGTCCAACTTTGGCACGCGGTTGCGAGTGAACGTTAGTTCAACGTCGGTCCAACTTTGGCACGCGGTTGCGACTGAACGTCAGTTCAACGTCGGTCCAACTTTGGCACGCGGTTGCGACTGAACGTCAGTTCAACGTCGGTCCAACGTCGCCACGCGGTTGTGACTGAACGTCAGTTCAACGTCGGTCCAACTTTGGCACGTGGTTGTGACTGAACGTCAGTTCAACGTCGGTCCAACTTTGGCACGCGGTTGCGACTGAACGTCAGTTCAACGTCGGTCCAACTTTGGCACGCGGTTGCGATTGAACGTCAGTTCAACGTCGGTCCAACTTTGGCACGCGGTTGCGACTGAACGTCAGTTCAACGTCGGTCCAACTTTGGCACGCGGTTGCGACTGAACGTCAGTTCAACGTCGGTCCAACTTTGGCACGAGGTTGTGACTGAACGTCAGTTCAACGTCGGTCCAACTTTGGCACGCGGTTGCGACTGAACGTCAGTTCAACGTTGGTCCAACTTTGGCACGCGGTTGCGATTGAACGTCGGCCCAACGTCGGCCCAACGTCGGCACGCGGACGTTGTCGCCGCTGAACGGTGACGCGTTCGCGATGGCGTTTCCTTTCGTCGGGGAGAGACGGGGAGAGAGGGGGTGAGAGAGATTTGACTTTGAAAAATATTTTTCTGGGGATTGATGCCCTTTCAGAGTTCACAGGTTGACAACGGTGTTTGAAGGTTGGTTGCTGCATTTAGCCGGGAAGGTGCGGGGGGGGGGGGGGGCGTTAGTTTGGTGTTTTTAGATTTAGATTTGCGCATGTTGTGTTTGTGGAAAGTTTTGCACAGAAATAAACAAGAGATGGTTTATCCGCGTTCTCAAATTCATTGCGTTGGGCTTTCATATGCTATATCCACTGTTTATTGTGGATGGCTTCCTTTATTTAACCATGCCCCATTGAGATTATCTGTGTCTTGTTGCTGGCTTCCATTATTTAACCATGAATTTTGATAAAACTGGTCAACACACTTTTTCTGGCATAAGGTATTCCAACGGTTTTAAGGTAATTTTGGGGTGCTGATTCCAAATCTGGCATCAGTTTTTGTCTATCACATCAGGTTTTTGAGATATCAAATATTGCATTTTCAATAAAAACTGCAGAAGAAAAATATTAAATAAATGTGGATATCTACATAAAATGATATTATAAAGACGTCGTGATTTAATTGAGTTATTTTCATTTATTATGAATTTATTTGTATTACTTTTTCCCTACGTGACTTTACCGAAAAAACCTGGGAGTATAATTAAAAAAAAATCGCGTGACGTCACCGCCAGACGGGTTGGAGGATGCTCACACTTAGCAGGTGAGTGAGTGGGTGGGTGAGTGGGTGAGTGAGTGGGTGAGTGAGTGAGTGGGTGAGTGAGTGAATGGGTGAGTGAGTGGGTGAGTGGGTGAGTGGGTGAGTGGATGAGTGAGTGGGTGAGTGAGTGAATGGGTGAGTGAGTGGGTGAGTGGGTGAGTGAGTGGGTGAGTGAGTGAGTGGGTGGGTGAGTGGGTGAGTGAGTGAGTGGGTGGGTGAGTGAGTGAGTGAGTGATGGATGAGCGAGTGGGTGAGTGAGTGAGTGAGTGGGTGATTGAGGGTGGGTGAGTGAGTGAGTGAGTGAGTGGGTGGGTGAGTGAGTGAGTGGGTGGGTGAGTGAGTGGATGGATGAGTGGGTGAGTGAGTGGGTGGGTGAATGAGTGAGTGGGTGGGTGAGTGGGTGAGTGGGTGAGTGGGTGAGTGAGTGAGTGTGTGGGTGAGTGAGTGAGTGGGTGGGTGGGTGGGTGAGTGAGTGGGTGGGTGAGTGAGTGGATGGATGAGTGGGTGAGTGAGTGAGTGGGTGAGTGAGTGAGTGGGTGAGTGAGTGAGTGAGTGGGTGAGTGAGTGAGTGGGTGAGTGAGTGAGTGGGTGGGTGAGTGGGTGAGTGAGTGGGTAGGTGGGTGAGTGAGTGGGTGAGTGAGTGAGTGAGTGGGTGAGTGAGTGAGTGAGTGGGTGAGTGAGTGGGTGAGTGAGTGAGTGGGTGAGTGAGTGAGTGGGTGTGTGAGTGAGTGGGTGAGTGAGTGGGTGGGTGAGTGAGTGGGTGAGTGAGTGCGGGAGTGAGTAGACCCTAGGCACAGTAATAGAGCACTTGCTCTATTACCATAGTACTATATCGCCTTGAACTTTTATGAACGACCGGGTGTTTAAGGTTAGCGATTTGTTGTATTATCTGGCCGTATAGCAAATGAAATTAACCCGTAAAAACAAAGTTTTTCACTTTAAATCCTTTATATGCGTGGCATCGGGGCGGCTAGAGTCCTCTCGTCCTCTGGCTTGAGATGGCTGCTACCTATGGGTCAGATTGTGTGCCAGCATTAACCAATTGTTAAATAAATATTTAAATATTTTTTCCCTAAACAGTGTAAAATTTTGGAAAAAAATTTCACGAAAATTCATTGTCACGCACAACGAGTCTGTGTGCAAAATGTCAGCTCGACTGGATCACGGGAAGTGGGTTAAAAAACGACCGAAAGATTTGCACGGTCCTAAGCAAGCAAGCGAACTTAATATAAATGATTTAAAAATACAATTACTTTACAATGCAACTTAAAATTTAGGTGTTTTAACATTTATGTTTAAAAATAAATACATGTAGGGCCCCTGTAAAACATCTGCTACAAGCCCTGCACTCGCTCCATCCTGCACTGGCTCTTACCCGACCCATATTAGGAAAGCTACTGGAACTTCGCTGCACTTTTAAATCATCATCATCATCAAATAGATTGACAAACTCATCTCTTCCGAACCGCTTATTCCTGCTGAGACATCTCCTTTACCAGTGGCAAAATATAGTGATAGGTTTTTACCCTTTCAAAGACAATGCACCATTACTGGTAAATGAGGTTCCCATAGTGTAGATGCTTGCCCCGAGCTCTCATACTCTGATGGTGCATTGTCTTTGAGCTGTGCGCCTTTTGGCGTCATCTGGTCCAACCCATGTGAGACTAGGCTCTAAGGAAAGCTGTCTCGGGTGTGGACCAATCAACTTCAAGGACAGTGCACATTATCAGAGTTATGTCTTTTGTTTGTATTATGACTACAGGTATTGCGGTCTATGCAAACATGACTCCTTGTAAAAAGGTGTCAGTTTTGTTGCCAAATAGAAGGGTAAAAAACCAATTATTATAGTGATAGGTTTTTACCCTTTCAACTGGTACAAAAACTGACACCTTTATACAAGGCATCATGTTTGCAATAACCACAACACAAGCAGTCAAAATGCTAAATATAGTAATAGGTTTTTACCATTTCAACTGGTACAAAAACTGACATTTTTATACAAGGCATCATGTTTGCAATAACCACAACACAAGCAGTCAAAATGCAAACAAAAAGAAACTTCTCTGATGATGATGATAATGGATATGCACTGTCCTTGACGTTGATTGGTCCACACCCGAGACAGCTTTGGTCTGCTGTGATTCCCCCGCATCTCCCATTATAAGCGCGGTTTGGATTACGTACGGCGCGAAAGAAGTTCGCACGTGCACGTGCAGAATGAGCTTTGATGTGAATAATTAACATAATTTATGTCGACAGCAGCGTGACGTCACCGCTAGACGGTCGGAGCGCGCTAATAATTAACATAATTAATGTCACCTCCGGACAGGTTGGAGTCTGCCGGATGATTAACATAACTTATCATACTCTTCTAGATTTGAAGCTTTCGTGACTGCAAGGATTCATACTCGTAGTTCTTTCGGTGAAGTCACTATGTAGGTAAAAAATGAAATAAAAATTAATAAAAATAAAACAATAAAAATAGAAATCATAAAAAAAAATTGATTTTTATTTTTTATTGTTTTACAATGCAATAAAGTCACGTAGGTAAAAAAATGAAATTAAAATTAATAAAAAATTAAAACAATAAAATCACGACGTTTCGGAGGCAACACAAGCTTCCATCTTCAGGTGAAACTGTCACAGCAAAAAATCTGTATCAAGTTTTATTGTTTTTATTTTTTTATTAATTTTAATTTCATTTTTTTACCTACGCGACTTTACCGAAACACCTATAATTTATTATTTTATTTTATTTCCATTATTACTTTTATTAACTTTTAATTTTATTTTTACCTACGTGACTTTACCGAAAAACCTATAATTTATTATTTTATTTTATTTCCATTATTACTTTTATTAACTTTTAATTTTATTTTTACCTACGTGACTTTACCGAAAAACCTATAATTTATTATTTTATTTTATTTCCATTATTACTTTTATTAACTTTTAATTTTATTTTTACCTACGTGACTTTACCGAAAAACCTATAATTTATTATTTTATTTTATTTCCATTATTACTTTTATTAACTTTTAATTTAATTTTTACCTACGTGACTTTACCGAAAAACCTATAATTCATTATTTTATTTTATTTCCATTATTACTGTTATTAACTTGCAGTCACGAAAGCTTCAAATCTAGAAAATAACTTATCATAATTTATGTCGACACTCGCGTGACGTCACCTCCAGACGGGTTGGAGGATGTGGACGATTAACATAAATTAACATAATTTATGTCGACGATCCGTGCCGTCACCTCCAGACGGGTTGGAGGATGCCGGACGATTAACATAAATTAACATAATTTATGTCGACACTCGCGTGACGTCACCTGCAGACGGGTTGGAGGATGCCGGACGATCAACATAAATTAACATAATTTATGTCGACAATCGCGTGACGTCACCAATCGCGTGACGTCACCTGCAGACGGGTTGGGAGGATGCGGACGATTAACATAAATTAACATAATTTATGTCGACACTCGCGTGACGTCACCTCCAGACGGGTTGGAGGATGCTCACATATAGCATAAATTAGCATAATTTATGCGAAAGCGGCGGCGGCTGCTGCTTGCGCGCGGGCATCTGTGGGGACCGCAATAGTCGGCCGCATTCCACGCGGGGGCCCGCTTTGCAAAGAGAAAATAAATACATTTGTGGCAAAATAGCAAAGTAAAACACGCAAAAAAAAAAGAACGCCGATCCACCTGCAGTTATTTCACAGCGAAACATTAACGCGTGTTGGTGGTGTTGGGTTGGGTTGGTTGGGGGGGGGAGAAAAAAAAAGCAAGTTTAAAGACATTTAATTGGCAATTGATTACAATCGGCTTAAACGTCAACCACCGCCTCTGTGCCGTCAACTCCCGCGTCTAAGAATAACACTAAAAGGTGAGCGCACCGTCACGTTTGCTATTTTCTTGTAATTTTCTCCCCCCCCCGTCTTAACGCGGCGCGCCTTTCTCTCGTCGGATTACGATTCGGCACTCTTCACCGTTGCTCGCTATATTTTTTGTTTTTTTTCCCTGCCTAATTCGAGTTTGTATTTCCACGTCGCGAAGGGGGTTTTTGTGTGTGTTGTTAACGGGGGTGGAGAGACACCCGTAGCAGCGGCCGCCATCTTAAACCAACGGATGCCGCACAGATTTCCCTCGGCCTGACTCTTCTTTTAAACGGTGAATTTCTAAACAAACCACCCCCCGTGTGTCGATCTATATCTACCCTTGTCGGACATTCACGTCGTTAAAAAAAAGTAGCGAAAAAAATTAACCCCACGATTGCGCCGACTACCTCTCAACCCCCGGGGGCCGGGTGGGGGGTGTGCGGGGGGACCCCCCACGCGGGCAGGCAGCCGATTCAGGCGAGAGCCTAGGGCCCGTATGCGGCCTGGTGTGATATTAATTTACAAAAAAAAGTGACGCATACCAAATTGATAAAGGTGCGATCGCCGCGCTATTAATTTTGCATCGTGCAACTAAAAACGCCGCGTGTGACGGCGCTATTGGGAGACGCGTGAAAACTGAGCGCGTTCAGATGCAGTTGTAATAAGTTGCAATTGTGTTGCTTTTAATTCATTAGCGGTTGTGGGGGGTAGGGGGGTGTCAAAATGGCGACTGCAGACAGTGACTTGAAATTAACGAGAAAAACACATTTTTGTTTACATTTAAACGTCCCAACTCGTAACAACAACAACTATTCGCGTACGAAGAGGCGCTTAGGCGTTGACTTTATTGTAATCGCGGCTGTAAAACGACGCTGGCTGCAGCTTTTAAAACGTGTGCGGTGGCTGAAGCTGACTTAACCGGGCGGCCTTTGTCATTTTTCTCGTGCGCAGGTTAATAGAACTATTGATGCAATCGGCGTTGTTGTTGTTGATTGTTGTTGCTTGCTCCTGCTGTTGTTGTCGTCTTCGCATTACGGTACCGCTGTCGCTTTCACGCGTGATGCGTGGCCGTCAAAACGTCAACGCGATGTGGGATGAAACCCGTGCAGTCACCCCACCACGTTTCTCCCTCCATCCACATTTGCTGCTCTTTCGTTTCGTCTCGTCTGCCGATTTATGTGTGGTCAACATGCACAGCACCACTACCACCACTACCACCCCATCGGCTTTGTCCACTGCTGGATGAGATTGGGGGTGGAGGAGAGATGGGGGGGGTGAGGTGGGTCATCTCCATCATCACGCCCGTATGTATGTCTCATGATGGTGATGATGGTGGTGGTTGTTGTAGGGAGGGGATCTTTAAACATACTTCACCACGCCGGTCATTGCCGATTTAAACGAAGGCGCCTTGGGGCAAGTACGGAATGTGGACTTCTTTCGCGCCGTACGTAGCCGACGAGTGCGGGCGAAGGGCTGCAAACGAAACACAGCCATGCGGTTCTAAAGAAACGCGTTAAAGCCATTTAATAGAGGGAACAACGGTACCGTGTGTGTGTATATATTACGTATCTATGCGCTGCTGTACACTAACGCAAACAAAAAATAAGTATAACCCGTAAAAACAGAGTTTTTCACTATAAATCCTTTATATGCGTGGCGGCTAGAGTCCTCTCGTCCTCTGGCTTGAGATGGCTGCCACCTATGGGTCAGATGATTGCATGGCAGCATTAAGCAATTGGTAATTAAATATAATATTTTTGTCCTAAAAAGTGTAAAATTTTGGAAAAAAATTTTTCACGAACATTAATTGTCACGCACAATGAGTCTGTGTGCAAAATGTCAGCTCGATTGGATCACGGGAAGTGGGTTAAAAAACGACCGAAAGATTTGCACGGTCCTAAGCAAGCAAGTGAACTTAATATATAGGATTTAAAAACAAATGCCCACTCATTTTCCGAGCTCGCAGAACGCATCCAGTGCGAGTGAGATTTGCACCACCACCCCTCCCCAACCAAACCTTTGTGTCACGCGGCCTCTTTGGCGCACCTAGCCTGGCACGACCGCTGCGGCCCAATGGGGTTGTGAGCATAGTGAGTGAGCGTGTGTCGATTCTGCACCCCCCCCCCTGAATTTCGTCGAAAGATGCATCTGGTTGAGTCTAGGAGTGCTGAAATTAACGTTTATCTGGTGACAACCCCCTCGCTTTGGCACAAAATACCATTAACGCAAACGCGTTAGTCGAGAAATGCCTTTTAAAAAGAAGATAAATGTGACGTGTCCCATACCTGTCAACCCCTCATCAGTTGCCGTACCTTATTACAGACCAATACAGACCTTATTGGTGGTCACCCTGTGCCCTCATAAATGTCAACGTTCATCCAATACACTACACTATACACTACACTATACACTACACTACGCTATACACGACACTATACACTCCACTACACACTACACTATATACTCCACTTTACACTCCACTACACTATACACTACACTATACACTACACTATACACTCCACTACGCTATACACGACACTATACACTCCACTACATACTACACTATATACTCCACTTTACACTCCACTACACTATACACTACACTATACACTACACTATACACACTACTATATACACTCCACTACACGATACACTCCACTACACGATACACTCCACTACACGATACACTATACACTACTACACCATACACTACACTATACACCACACTATACACTACACTATACACTACACTATACACTACCCTATACACTCCACTTTACACTCCACTACACTATACACTACGCTATACACTCCACTATACACTACACTATACACTCCACTATACACTACACTATACACTACACTTTACACTCTACTTTACACTATACACTACACACTACACTATATACTACACTGTATACTACACTATACACTACACTACACACTACACTACTACATACTTGTCAACCCCTTATCAGTTGTCCTACCTTATTACAGACCTATTTAGACATTTTTGGCCACCCCGCGTGCCCATATAAACCTCACCGTTCATCCTACAAACTCCCATCACAAGGGAGGACCTCAAACAAATTGACAAACACATTTTTTTTGCCTGGATTCAAACGGCTGTACGTATGGGCCTGAAAAACTCAATTTCCCGGTTCAAGAATATGGGCTAAACCGCGTGTGGGTTGACAGGTATGCGTTTCGGACAAATGGCATCACTTAACAGCACTTTCCCCAAAGGTTTGCTCAGTCTATACAGAGTGAGGGGGGGAATCTTTGTCTATACATACAATGTATATGCACATCTTGTGTGGAAATATCTATCAATATATCTGCATATCAAATGTAGCTCGAGCATTTGATGGGGGAAAGAGCCTTTCTCAGCCTTTGCGTCATCACCCTCTGGTGTCCTCTTTATTTTGTGGAACCAGACGTTTTGACTGAACTAAACTACATATTTCGATTTAAAGCTTTCGTGACTGCAGGGATTCATCTTCTTGGTTCTTTCGGTAAAGTCACGTCGTAGAATGGAAATAATAAAATAATAAAAAATAAAACAGAAGACAGTCAGACTCTGTCTTCTCGACAGACCTGCTCTCCACCTGAGGACGGCTGCTTGTCTTGTGGCCGAAACGTCGTGAGAATTGTATTTTATTATGTTTTATTTTTATTATTTTATTACTTCCCTTCTACGTGACTTTACCGAAAGAACCAAGAAGATAAACTACATATTTTTGTTTCACCATGTAAGGCCCCACTGAACAACGTAGCCTCTTTTTCAGAAGCGAGCTGGATATCACAAATGATAACTCAACGAAGTCGCTCATCATCATCATCACATGGGGATTTAGAGCAGCAGGCAATTCATATTAATGCATAGAGACCCATAGAGGCCCATAGAGACACAGAGGTGCATAGAGACCCATACAGATGCAAAGAGACCCATACGGATACATCGAGACCCACACACTACCTTTAACTGTTTTGATTTACCAGGGAAGGCTCCACTGAGATACGTAGCCTCTTTTTCAGAAGCAACCTGGGTATCACAAATTATAGCTCAATAAAGTGTTTTTTTAAATCCTTTATATTAAGTTCGCTTGCTTGCGTGCTTGCTTGCTTGCTTACGACCGTGCAAACCTTTCGGTCGTTTTTTAACCCACTTCCCGTGATCCAATCGAGCTGACATTTTGCACACAGACTCGTTGTGCGAGACAATTAATGTTCGTGAAAATTTTTTTCCAAAATTTTACACTGTTTAGGGAAAACAAATTAAATATTTAATTACCAATTGCTTAATGGTGGCAGACAATCATCTGACCCATAGGTGGCAGCCATCTCAAGCCAGAGGACGAGAGGACTCTAGCCGCCACGCATATAAAGGATTTAGAGTGAAAAACTTTGTTTTTACGGGTTATACTTGTTTTCACGTGGAAATGTATCGCAAGCCAAATACGCGTGTTGTTGATTTTAAATGTGGAAGGAAAAACCGGAGGACCCGGAGAAAGATCCACGCGACCACGGGGAGAACACGCAAACTCTACATATACAGCAGGAGCAGGCGTCAGGGTCGAGATCGAACCCACGACCTCCTGTATACCAAGCGAGGTAGTTAACATCTCCTAGTGACCGTGGCGAGATGTTAGCTGCCTATGATATATTTCTCATTTTAAGATCAGAATGTTTTTGATGAACTTGATGAGTTTGTTTGGTATTGCCTATAAAGTAATTGTTTTTAGAGGCACCACATAATTTATTCTCCCTGAAAACTGCTATTTGCATGACGGTCAAATTGGTGTCCTTAATTCTCGTAGCTGTGATTTGGTGATATTGAGTGCAAAAACCAACCACATTTACACTGGAGAAGCCAATTGAAGAATGACTGTTGTCTACGAGACGATATAATTCCCTAATGCAAGACTGTGGGTAACCAACCTGCTAGTCTATGTGTCTGTGTTTGAATCTTATGGGGTAAAGCGAGTCTACGGGTCTCTGTGTGAGTTTACATGTCTCTGTAAGCCACTTGTCACCGGGCTGAAACCATCAACTTACTACGCATGAGAATCCAGTTTAATCACATCTCTACGTGACGACATGGGTTTCGATGCAAGACTGTGGTCGTACCTGTATAGTCTATGTGTCTGTGTTTGAATCTGTGGGTTAGTTAGTCTACGGGTCGCTGTGTGGCTGCCGCTGCCTTTCCGCTGGTTTGTGGTTCTTTGTCCACACTTTCTCAGTCGTCATCCTCTCTCTCCGAATCGTCCTCTCTCTCTGCGTTGTCCTATTTCTCTTGTGCAGCGCTGTATCACATGTTGACTTAGTTGTAATTTTATTAACCCGGCAGGGATGATTTGGACCCCCAAGAGGTTGCTTGCCTCCTGTGCGCGCTTGGATTTTGCGCCCGTCAATTATGCACATCGTCGTCATAGTTGTCATGATTTCCATGGTGAATAAAATAGGTACCACTCGCATCAGAGAAATGAAAGCCAGCTGCTGCTGCTGCTGCTTCTGTTTTCCTTGATCAGTGATGGGTAACCTTGGCCCTGTCACAGAAATGTGGACAGCGCCGGATTATCCTCGTAGCAAAAGTAGCAGTAGCCTCGGGCGCCGCACTTTCAAGGGCCCCGCGTTAAACGCTTTCAAGCTATCAATTCCAGTTCAGCGATTCTGCACTTGCTCTATTACTATAGTACTATACCGCCTTAAACTTTTATGAACGACCGGGTGTTTAATGTTAGCGATTAGTCGTATTATCTGGCTGTATAGCAAATGGAAAAATATTATGCAAGTAAAAAATGTGTTTTCATATTTGTGTTTTTGTTTAATTTAGGGCCCCTTTTTAAATCCTTTATATTAAGTTCGCATGCTTGCTTGCTTGCGTGCTTGCGTGCTTGCTTGCTTACGACCGTGCAAACCTTTCGGTCGTTTTTTAACCCACTTCCCGTGATCCAATCGAGCTGACATTTTGCACACAGACTCGTTGTGCGAGACAATTAATGTTCGTGAAAATTTTTTTCCAAAATTTTACACTGTTTAGGGAAAACAAATTAAATATTTAATTACCAATTGCTTAATGGTGGCAGACAATCATCTGACCCATAGGTGGCAGCCATCTCAAGCCAGAGGATGAGAGGACTCTAGCCGCCACGCATATAAAGGATTTAGAGTGAAAAACTTTGTTTTTACGGGTTATACTTATTAACATGTGCTACAGGCCCCGCACTCGCTTAATCCGGCACTGGATGCGGAATTGACCGTGTACACGCGTGCATTGTACGAGACGGCAAGCGGCACGTGCAGCTCAAGCGACTGTTGCGTCTGTCTCTTCTCCCGTGCTTCTGCTGCTTCAACTGCTGCCTCCTCTACTCCTCCTGCTTCACTTTACCTTCCCTGCTTCCGTTCCACTTCACCGCACGCCAGAGGTCGCAAACGGGTTTTGATTCCTTACCCGTACCCGGCCACACCAGGGTCGCAAACGGGTACCCGTACCCGGCCGGGTACGGGTACCCGTTCCGTACCCGTACCCTACCCGAGATGAGTGACAAACGGTTACTCACCAGTGACTCACGGCCTACCCATACCGGTACCCGGCCGCACCAGGGTCGCAAACGGGTACCCGTACCCGGCCGGGTAGCCGGGTATCGGGTAGGGTACGGGTATCGGGTACCCGGTTGCGACCTCTGCCACACGCTCCGACCGCTTCACCTCCTGCTGCTCTTTCTCCCCCTCCAGCTTCCGCTGACGCCTCTCGTTTTTGCTTTTGCGGCTGCCTCTGTTGTCGTTGCTTGTCGCTCGCTTCTTCTCAATCCTCCTGCTGCTGCTGCTGCTCCCATGCTCTCATTACGCACGCGCAAAGTGCTTGCCGCAAATAAAGCACAATATCTTCTTGGTTCTTTCGGTAAAGTCACGTAGAAGGGAAGTAATAAAATAATAAAAATAAAACATAATAAAATACAATTTTCACGACGTTTCGGCCACAACGCAAGCAGCCGTCCTCAGGTGAAGAACACAGACATGCTCTTCACCTGAGGACGGCTACTTGCGTTGTGGCCGAAACGTCGTGAGAATTATTTTATTATGTTTTATTTTTATTATTTTATTACTTCCCTTCTACGTGATGACTTTACCGAAAGAACCAAGAAGATAATCTCTGCAGTCACGAAAGCTTTAAATCGAAAAGCACAAAATCTTGCCGATCTCATCAAGGAATATAAACCATCGCTGTAACTACGTTTGAAGCTTTCGTGACTGCAAGGATTCATACTCTTAGGTTTTTTCGGTAAAGTCACGTAGGTAAAAAAATAAAATTAAAAGTTAATAAAAGTAATAGTGGAAATAAAATAAAAAATCACGACGTTTCGGAGGCAACACAAGTCTCCGTCATCAGGTGGGACTGTCACAGCTAAAAAAAAAACCTTGATGCAGTAATTTTAGCTGTGACGTTCCCACCTGATGACGGAGACTTGTGTTGCCTCCGAAACGTCGTGATTTATTATTTTATTTCCATGATTACTTTTATTAACTTTTAATTGTATTTTTTACCTACGTGACTTTACCGAAAAAACCTACGCGTACTGTAACTACGGTCATCCTCGCAGCGGCTTTTGGCTCGCCGTCGAACAAAGACGGTCACCACGTCGCACGATTTCAGATGTGCTTCTTTGGCCGTCTGGAACGCTCTTCTTCCGATATTTGGAAGCCACTGGAGCTACACATTTTAAAATACAAATAGAACATTCATTTATTTAGAACTCCTTTACGTGTTTAGTTTGTTGTCCTTCTTCCGCACCTCCGATTAGTACCGTTGGCTACGTACGGCGCGAAAGAAGTTCAACACACACACGTACTGGTGCTTCTCATTCTGTTGCTGCTGCTGCTGCCTCTAGAAATTTCTGCCGTTACGTTTTGCGTCTCATTGTACTCCGATTCTTACGAAGGGACTGTGTGTTATCTTGCCGCGGTTCTTGCTGCTTCGCCCGAGCTTGGGAATTGATGTGCCCGTGGCAATTTTAACCTTGCAACAATCCACCTCGCCAACCGCCCTGATAACCGCCGTGGTTGACAAAACCGCCAAGGCATTATGGGAAATGTAGGGGGTTAGGGCAAGCCACGGTCGCACTCGTCAAAAGCCGAACTAAATTGCCGGTTCCTTCGCTAAGCACAAATAAAAACACAAGTGATGTTATAAAAAGCAGCGCGTGTTCAAATCGCCGAATTAACAACGATAACATCATGCGAGTTACCTTTAACTGCTGAGGATTGAGGTCCGCGGTGATGACGTTATTGATGAGGTGACGTGGGAGGAGGTGGTTATCAGAAGGAATAGTGGTTCTGGCCACCCCCTACCTCCACCTGGTGGGGATAAGAGAGTGGTGGTGGGAGCTGCTGCTGCTGCTGCCGCTGCCCCTCCTGCTGCTTCCCCTGCTTACTGCCGTCGCCACTTCACGCTTCCCGTTTGTCGCCGCGCAGGTTGGGGCCGCGTCCTGGGAGCGACGCCGTGAGCCACCCGTACTCAATGATCGCTCTGAGCCATGTCCGAGCGTGCGGGGCAGAGCGCAAAGGGAAAGGACGGCAAGACCAAGTACGCATCGCTCAGCCTCTATAACACCTACAAGGGCAAGAGCATCGAGACCCACAAGACTACCAGTACGTTGGGTGGGGAGTGGGGGGGGGGGGGCGCACATGGGGACACGCACGGGGAGACACGGGTAAAGTGCGGCGAGACACGGGGAGATACGGGGAAACACGGGGAAACACGGGGAAACACGGGGAGACACGGGGAGACACGGGGAGACACGGGGAGACACGGGGAGACACGGGGAGACACGGGGAGACACGGGGAGACACGGGGAACGTGTGGGGAGACGTGGGGACATTCGGGGAGACACGGGGAGATACGGCGAACGTGGGGAGACACGAGGTATACACAGAGAGACACGGGAAGACAAGGGGGGACATACTGGGAGACATGGGGGACATACAGGGGAGAGATGCAGGGAGACACGGGCAACGTGTGGGGAGACACTGGCAACTTGTGGAGAGATGGTGACATGCGGTGAGACACGTAGAGACATGGCAAACGTGTGGGGGGTCATAGGGACATCCGGGGAGACACGGGGAGACATGAGGAACGTGTGGGGAGACGTGGGGACATTCGAGGAGACACGGGGAGACACGGCGAACGTGGGGAGACACGAGGTATACACAGAGAGACACGGGAAGACAAGGGGGGGGACACGGGGAGACATGGGGGACATACAGGGGAGACACGGGGAGACACGGCGAACGTGGGGAGACACGAGGTATACACAGAGAGACACGGGAAGACAAGGGGGGGGACACGGGGAGACATGGGGGACATACAGGGGAGACACGGGGAGACACGGCGAACGTGGGGAGACACGAGGTATACACAGAGAGACACGGGAAGACAAGGGGGGGGACACGGGGAGACATGGGGGACATACAGGGGAGACACGGGGAGACACGGCGAACGTGGGGAGACACGAGGTATACACAGAGAGACACGGGAAGACAAGGGGGGGGACACGGGGAGACATGGGGGACATACAGGGGAGACACGGGGAGACACGGCGAACGTGGGGAGACGCGTGGTATACACAGAGAGACACGGGAAGACAAGGGGGGAGACACGGCCAGACGAGGGGGACACTCGGGCAGACCAACCTGGTTTTTTGTGCAAGTCGCAGGACCAGAGACATCTCCACCACCAGAGGCCCACTGAGCTCCGCTACGGAGCTCTAGTTCAGAAGCGGCTCAGCCACCACAAATGATAGCTCAACGAAGTGAGTGGCACATCATCATAGTGTGGACATTTATAGCAGCAGCAGCAGTAGGAGCCAAATACTCTAAAACCATTAGTCTTAGGTTGTTTGGGTAAAGTCACGTAGGTAAAAAATAAAATTAAAAGTTAATAAAAGTAATAATGGTTGAGAACCAATGGTTTTAGATTCTAGATTTGAAGCTTTCGTGAGTGCAAGGATTCATATTCTTAGGTTTTTTCGGTAAAGTCACGTAGGTAAAAAATGTAATTAAAAGTTAATAATGGAAATGAAATAAAATAATTATAATTTATTCTTTTATTTTATTTCCATTATTACTTTTATTAACTCTAAATAAAATTTTTATCTACGTGACTTTAAAATAAAATAATTATAACTTTTTATTTTATTTTTACCTACGTGACTTTAAAATAATATAATTAAAATGTATTCTTTTATTTTATTTCCATTATTACTTTTATTAACTTTTAATTTTATTTTTTACCTACGTGACTTTACCGAAAACCTAAGAGCATGAATCCTTGCAGTCACGAAAGCTTCAAATCTAGAATTAATACCCTCCTACGGGGAGGAATTTCACCTATTATTTATTTTTCGCCCACGTGACTTTACCGAAAAACCTAAGAGTATGAATCCTTGCAGTCACGAAAACTTCAAATCTAGAATCTAAAACCATTGGTTCTCAACCTGGGGTACGCAGACTCCTGGGGGTGTACGTGGAAATGTCCCAGAGGGTACGCGAGTGTGTTTATAAACGTGTTAAATGATGCACACGAGAGCCCATTGGTGAATTATCGTGTATGAATTTGCCAAGATAAGGTAACTATGATAACAAATTCACGTGGTTACCGAGAACGATATGAAAGACCTTTCTACTAAACTCATTGATCTTAAACAATGCAGGTTTCCAAGGGTAACCGGCAAGCGCGAACAGATGACATCACACTATGGGAACCTCATTTGCCAGTAAAAATATGATAATTGGTTTTTTACCCTTTTATCTGGCAACAAAACTGACACCTTTTTACAAGGAGTCATGTTTGCATAGACCATAATACCTGCAGTCATAATACAAACAAAAAACATAACTCTGATAATGTGCACTGTCCTTGAAAGGCGTCATCTGGTCCAACCCATGTGAGACTAGGCTCTAAGGAAAGCTGTCTCGGGTTCGATTTAAAGCTTTCGTGACTGCAGGGATTCATCTTCTTGGTTCTTTCGGTAAAATCACGTAGAATGGAAGCAATAAAAATAATAAAATAAAACATAAAACATAACGTAAAAAACGTCGTGAGAATTATTTTATTACGTTTTATTGTTTCCATTCTACGTGACGACTTTACCGAAAGAACCAAGAAGGTGATCTTTCGGGCCGTGAACAGCAAATGGAATTGTTATTTGCCCCGGAGAAATCTTGTGAGCTGTGAAGCTCTTTTGAACCAACTGGCAAACCCGACTGCGAGAGCTCGACCCTAACCCCCGACAAACCGGGGATGCTCGTGTGCCGATGGCGTGTGATGGTGATGCAGTCGCTACGAGACATGGCCTGCAGAGCCTGGGGAAGGTGGCCACGGCGAGGCGCATGCCACCCCCTGCCAACCTGCCGAGCCTGAAGGCGGAGAACAAAGGCAACGACCCCAACGTGACGCTGGTGCCCAAGGACGGATCGGGATGGGCGAGCAAGCAGGAGCCTCGCGACGACAAGACGTACGCACACAAGTCCCTCGCCCGCTCACCCGCTCGTTCATCCACTCGCTCGCTCACCCACTCGCTCATTCGCTCGCTCGCTCACCCACTCGCTCATCCGCTCGCTCGCTCACCCACTCGCTCATCCGCTCGCTCGCTCACCCACTCGCTCTCCCACTCAGTTCTCTCGCTCACCCACTTGCTCGCTCACCCACTCGCTCACTCGCTCACCCACTCGCTCATCCGCTCAGTTCACTCGCCCACCCACTCGCTCGCCCATTCGTTCGCTCACCCACTCGCTCGCTCACCCACTCACTCATCCGCTCAGTTCGCTCGCCCACCCACTGGCTCATCCACTCGCTCGCTCACCCACTCACTCATCCGCTCAGTTCGCTCGCCCACCCACTCGCTCATCCACTCGCTCGCTCACCCACTCGCTCATCCGCTCAGTTTGCTCGCTCACCTACTCGCTCATCCACTCGCTCCCTCACCCACTCGCTCATCTGCTCAGTTTGCTCGCTCACCCACTCGCTCATCCACTCGCTCCCTCACCCACTTGCTCGCTCACCCACTCGCTCACCCACTCAGTTTGCTCGCTCACCCACTCGCTCGCTCACCCACTCGCTCGCTCACCCACTCGCTCGCTCACCCACTCGCTAATCCACCCGCTCGCTCATCCACTCGCTCGCTCACCCACTCGCTCGCTCACCCACTCAGTTTGCTCGCTCACCCACTCGCTCACCCATTCGTTCGCTCACCCACTCACTCGCTCACCCACTCACTCATCCGCTCAGTTCGCTCGCTCGCCCACTCGCTCGCCCACTCGTTCGCTCACCCACTCGCTCGCTCACCCACTCGCTCACCCATTCAGTTTGCTCGCTCACCCACTCGCTCCCTCACCCACTTACGTGCATGGTATCTGCGTGTATGTATATCTTCGTGTGTGTGTTTTTGGGGAGCGGTCGTGTAACGGTTAGCGCTACGCTGCGCTATGAACCCGGTGACCTGAGTTCGATTCCCGCTCACGGCCAACACCAGTGACGATTATCTGAACCGGTCCTGGGCCTCGCCTAGGTCGACTCGGCCTCATACGAGTACCTGGCACTGTGTGTAGTAAACATCGCCACTGGGGAGACAAAGGCGGCCGGGCGTGGTGCTGGCCACCCACCCCCTCGGGGGAACGTTGTTGTTGTCGTTGTTGTTGTTGTTTGTGTCTGCGCGTGTCGCCGTTCGTGTTGACAGGCCTCGGGCGCCGCCTCCACTGCAGCCAGAGTCGCTGCCGCCGCCGGCTACGCCGAGCTGCGCCGTCTCCTCCGCCCCCTCGCCCCCCTCGGCCAACGCCAGCGCCACCACAACTACCACCACCACCACCACAGAGGTGCGGGCACACACAACAACAACAACAACAACCGCAACCGCCATTCGCCACTAAGTGGCGGTGACGTCACCACGACGCTTGTGCCAGGCACACGCACGCACGCGTACATACGTGTGCACGCGCGCATGTACATGGACCGTCCTCGTGGTCTGTGGAATTGTAACCTCCCCCACCCCCCCAGCGGGTCGCAATGCCGCCAATGACGACGCCGATTGTAACGCTGAGCGCCGCCCATCACCTCCCGTCCAGCGGCAATGTCCAGTGCCACCGGGGCCATTTCCTAGATAAGTCGGCTGTATCCCAGCTCTGGTTTTTATAAATTACCGTCATAATTTTATCATCGCCCCGTAGACGACCGCGCGACGATCGCTGCCGGTAATTTGCGAGCTGCTGCATCGCGCCAATCGCAAGCCGGCTTCTCCCGCGGGCGCTGAAGTTGCCGTGGGTTATCGCGTTTGTCCGGCGTGACGCCCCCTCTCCCCAGCCCCCGCCCACCCCGCCCCTTCCCTCCCCTCTGACTCGTGTGTTTCTTTGCTCGTGTTTGGGTGGCAGAGTGCGACCTGCAAGACGAATGTCACCTCCTGGGCTCCACCTGCTCCCAGGGGCACCAAGGTTCACGTAGAAGGTGAGTGGCCCACATCCGTGGGGTTTGACTCCCTGGTCTGGGTTGCGGTGGTGGCGGCGATGGGTGCGTTGTGGCGGTGGATGTGGTGGTGGCGGTGTTGATGGCGGCGGTGGTGGCGGCGCTGGCGGCGCTGGCGGCGCTGGCGACGCTGGCGGCGCTGGCGGTGCTGGCGCTACTGATGCTGCTGATGTTGCTGATGCTGGTGATGCTGGTGGTGGTGCTGGTGGTGCTGGTGGTGCTGGTGCTGATGGTGCTGGTGGTGTTGGTGGTGCTGGTGGTGCTGATGCTGGTGATGCTGGTGATGGTGGTGCTGGTGCTGGTGGTGCTGGTGCTGGTGGTGCTGGTGGTGCTGATGCATGTGATGCTGGTGATGGTGGTGCTGCTGGTGGTGGTGCTGGTGGTGCTGGTGGTGTTGGTGATGCTGGTGCTGCTGATGCTGCTGATGCTGCTGATGCTGCTGATGCTGGTGGTGCTGGCGGTGTTGGTGATGCTGGTGGTGTTGGTGATGCTGCTGATGCTGATGATGCTGGTGATGCTGGAGGCGCTGGTGGTGGTGCTGGAGGCGGTGGTGGCGGTGCTGGTGGTGGTGGCGGTGGTGACTAAGCTGCTGCTGCAGCTGCTGCTGCACATGGCTGCCTGTAGATCCAGCTCTGTGCAGGCAGCAGCAGTAGCAGCGAGGGCTTGGTGGATCACTCACAGGTGGGGTGTGAAACTCCCTTCTACACGGGGGTGGGCCAGAAGTAGGCAGTACAGCAGCGAAGTGTGTGGACTAATCTCCATCTGTTCCATCTCATGTCATTCTAACCCGTGGGTGAGCGTCATGGAGGAGCTGTACCCCTGGTTTTGCCAGGAGAATGCAGTACGGCAAAGTGCGGATACATCTCCATCCGAGATAGTGTTGCCCCTGGCACAAGGCCTGCGTTCTATTCCTGGTGTTCCATCCCACGTGAATGATAGCGTAGCCAGTTACCCAGCTATGCTTTTGGTGGAAACGAGAAGCAGGGGGCGGATGGGGCGGCAAGATGTCGGGGGGTGGTTGCGTGTTCATAATGTCCTTGCCAAAGTACAGTGATCCCTCGTTTATCGCGGTTAATGGGGACCGGAACCCGTCGCGATAGGTGAATATCCGCCAAGTAGGATTGGCCCCCTAGGAATTTCCGTATATGTGTGTGTGGGTACCAGAATGTTTAAAATATGTATATTTATACTTTATATATATATTTTACTTAAATCTATTTAATTATCAAACCTTAATATTATACATTCTCTCTCTCTCATACGATACGTATTATGGTGTTCTACACTCACCAATGACAGTAGTATCTTGAGACTTGACTCCAGTAATGACGACGATGACAATGACGACGATGACAGACCTGTGCAGTTCGATGAATGTGATGATGAATGATGATGATGATGGTGTTACTGCACAGGTATAATGAGGCCTTTAAATCAGTTCGAAAAATCCGCGATGCACTGAGGCCGCGAAACTTGAACCACGAAGTGGCGAGGGATTACTGTACCACGATCGGGATTTTTGCCAGTGCAGCTGCCATGCTTTGGCATGCGTTGCCTTTGCGATCAAGACATTCAGAGTCGTGAGCGCTGTTTAAGTCTCGTCTTGAAAACTCGCCTACTTAAATTGACTCTCTGTTGTATTACATTACATTTCTACGTATACTAGATTTGTGTTTCTATTTCATTTATACCTGATGATGATCGCTTGTGTTGCAATCGAAACGTCGTATGCTAGTATTTAATTTGTTATTTTGTCTTTATACGTGACTTTACCGAAAGAACCAAAGAGTAATTGGTGATGTTTATGGTCCTGGTAACTCGAACCCATTGCAACAACATCATCATCCTCACAACCACCATGTCCATGTCGGCAGGTTCTGATTATCTCCTGGCTTTCCACACACGCTGGCTCATTGGTGGGATGTACGGATACAACGCGCGTCACTTGACAAACGTAAATTATTATGATTGCGAGGCCTCCGCCCTCCATCCCGCCACTCTGTGTGACTTCTCCTTCTGCCCCCTTGCCCCCCCCCCCACCCACCTTGCCCCCACCACAGTAGTGGCTGCTCCGAGCCAGCGCTCGCGGCTTTCTCAGCAGGAGTTCCCCAGTCTGCAGGCGGCCGGGGAGCAGCAGCAGCAACAGCAGCAACAGCAGCAGCAACAGCAACAACAGCAGCAGCAACAGCAGCAGCAGCAGGCGGAGCAACGCGGGGATGCTGTCCACGACGGTGCCGTGCCAGCGTACGGACCAGGGCCCAGCCTGCGCCCACAGAGTGAGTGGGAGTCCATAATGCCTTGCCCCAACAGGCTGTTAAAGGCTATATGGAGGATCTTTGTCTGTGGGGAGGTTAAGGCGGCCGGGAATGGTGCTGAACGATGGTACCTACAGCGGCGATGATGCCGATGATGATGACGACAATAGTACGTACACCGATGATGCTGATGGTGATCGTGACGATGGCACCTACACCGATGATGGTACCTACACTGATGATGATGGCACCTACACCAACGATGGTACCTACACCGATGATGATGATGATGATGATCATGACGATGGCATCTACACCGACGATGTATGACGATGTTACCGATGTCGATGATGACGATGGCACCCACACCGATGTGGCAATATCTCCTGTCCCCCTCCCCCCCGTCACAGACGTGGCAAGCTGGCGGGAGGGCGGAGGGCGCATCGCAAGCGCAGCTGCAGCGTCGGCTGGAGGAAACGCAGCGGCGGCGGCGGCATCATCATCATCGTCGTCGGCAGCCGGCGCCGGCTCGGCGGGGTCCGTAGGCGCTGGCGTCCCCCCTGGCGCCAGCCTCGGCGACCCCGAGCCCCCCAGAGGCGCAAACGGCGTCGGCCCCCGAGGGGGAGGGGTGCCGGGGGGGGTGGGGGCGGGGGGGGCGCCGGCGCACGAGACGAGCAGCCCGGGACTGCTGGCGACGCCGCAGATGATGGCGCCCGGTTCCTCCTCTTCCTCCTCTTCAGCTGCTGCTGGCGCCGTCGGCAATGCGTTCTCGCCGGCGCCCTTCCGTGGCCCGGGGGGGCCTCCTTTTGTAAGCGTGGTGACATCGTGTCCCGGTCGTGGGATTGCGCGGCGTTGCGGTTGTTGTGGTTAGGGGTTGTGGTTGTTGTGCTGTTGTTGTTGTTGACGGGTGGAGAACAAATACACCCCTTCTTAGAGCGCCCGCTAGCGGATGCCCTTTGGCCAGCGTTTGCGTGAGCGAGCAGAGCGATTGCAGGGCTGCACCCTCGCCGTTTGAACCGAGACGCTATCACCGGTTCACCACCACAAATTAAACCGTGCTTTGTATTTTCGTCCCCGTTTTCCCCTGACCCCCCCCACCACCACCACCCCCCCCGCTCCCCCTCCTTTGCCTATGGGGGGCTGCTTACCACAGATGGGGTACCCCTCGGGGTCTCTGCGAGGGATGGCATTCGCCCCGGCTTTTGGTCCCACGAAATTCCGCTTCCCGTTCACGCCGGCTGAGGCGGCCAAGTGAGTGTGCCGAGCCCGCCGCGTCCACCCTGCGCCCAGTCCCACTGACGCTCCTTCACGCTCATCGCCACCCCTCCACTGGAATCAGCTCCCCCTGTACATTGAGCAACACTCCACCATAGACTCAACACTGCACCATAGACTCAACACTGCCCATAGACTCAACACTGCTCCATAGACTCAACACTGCACCATAGACTCAACACTGCACCATAGACTCAACACTGCTCCATAGACTCAACACTGCACCATAGACTCAACACTGCACCATAGACTCAACACTGCTCCATAGACTCAACACTGCACCATAGACTCAACACTGCTCCATAGACTCAACACTGCTCCATAGACTCAACACTGCACCATAGACTCAACACTGCACCATAGACTCAACACTGCCCGTAGACTCAACACTGCCCGTAGACTCAGCACTGCACCATAGACTCAACACTGCCCGTAGACTCTGCACTGCACCGTAGACTCAACACTGCACCATAGACTCAGCACTGCCCGTAGACTCAACACTGCACCATAGACTCAACACTGCCCGTAGACTCAACACTGCACCATAGACTCAACACTGCCCGTAGACTCAACACTGCCCGTAGACTCAACACTGCACCATAGACTCAACACTGCCCGTAGACTCTGCACTGCACCGTAGACTCAGCACTGCCCGTAGACTCAACACTGCCCGTAGACTCTGCACTGCACCGTAGACTCAACACTGCCCATACACTCAGCACTGCCCATAGACTCGACACTGCACCATAGACTCAACACTGCCCGTAGACTCAACACTGCCCATAAACTCAGCACTGCCCGTAGACTCAGCACTGCACCATAGACTCAACACTGCACCATAGACTCAACACTGCTCATAGACTCAACACTGCCCATAGACTCAACACTGCCCATAGACTAAACACTGCCCGTAGACTCAACACTGCCCCGTAGACTCAACACTGCCCATAGACTCAACACTGCACCATAGACTCAACACTGCCCATAGACTCAACACTGCACCATAGACTCAACACTGCCCGTACACTCAGCACTGCCCGTAGACTCAGCACTGCACCATAGACTCAACACTGCACCATAGACTCAACACTGCCCATAGACTCAACACTGCCCATAGACTCAACACTGCCCATAGACTCAGCACTACCCATAGACTCAACACTGCCCATAGACTCAACACTACCCGTAGACTCAACACTCCACCACAGACTCAACACTGCCCGTAGACTCAGCACTGCACCACAGACTCAACATTGCCTGTAGGTCAACACTGCCTGTAGACTCGGCACTGCCCGTAGACTCAGCACTGCCCATAGACTCAACACTGCCCGTACACTCAGCACTGCCCGTAGACTCGGCACTGCCCATAGACTCAACACTGCCCGTAGACTCAACACTGCCCATAGACTCAACATTGCCCATAGACTCAACACTGCCCATAGACTCAACACTGCCCATAGACTCAACACTGCCCATAGAATCAACACTGCACCATAAACTCAACACTGCCCGTAGACTCAACACTGCCCATAGACTCCACACTACCCATAGACTCCACACTACCCATAGACTCAACACTGCACCATAGACTCAACACTGCACCATAGACTCAACACTGCCCATAGACTCAACACTGCACCATAGACTCAACACTGCACCATAGACTCAACACTGCCCATAGACTCAACACTGCCCGTACACTCAACACTGCCCGTAGACTCGGCACTGCCCATAGACTCAACACTGCCCATAGACTCAACACTGCCCATAGACTCAACACTGCCCGTAGACTCAACACTGCCCGTAGACTCAACACTGCCCATAGACTCAACATTGCCAATAGACCCAACACTGCACCATAGACTCAGCACTGCCCATAGACACAACACTGCCATAGACTCAACACTGCCCATAGACTCAGCACTGCCCATAGACACAACACTGCCATAGACTCAACACTGCCCGTACACTCAGCACTGCCCGTACACTCAGCACTGCCCCTACACTCAACACTACCCGTAGACTCAACACTGCCCGTAGACTCAACACTGCACCATAGACTCAACACTGCCCATAGACTCAACACTGCCATAGACTCAGCACTGCCCATAGACTCAGCACTGCCCATAGACTCAACACTGCCCATAGACTCAGCACTGCCCATAGACTCAACACTGCCCATAGACTCAACACTGCCATAGACTCAGCACTGCCCATAGACTCAGCACTGCCCATAGACTCAACACTGCCCATAGACTCAGCACTGCCCATAGACTCAACACTGCCCATAGACTCAGCACTGCCCATAGACTCAACACTGCACCATAGACTCAACACTGCCCGTTGACTCAACACTGCACGTAGACTCAGCACTGCCCATAGACTCAACACTGCACCATAGACTCAACACTGCCCATAGACTCAACACTGCCCCGTGGACTCAGCACTGCCGTACACTCAACACTGCACCATAGACTCAACACTGCACCATAGACTCAACACTGCCCGTACACTCAGCACTGCCCGTAGACTCAACACTGCACCATAGACTCAACACTACCCATAGACTCAACACTGCTCATAGACTCAACACTGCCCATAGACTCAACACTGCCCATAGACTCAACACTGCCCATAGACTCAACACTGCCCATAGACTCAACACTGCTCATAGACTCAACACTGCACCATAGACTCAACATTGCCCATAGACTCAACACTGCCCATAGACTCAACACTGCCCGTACACTCAGCACTGCCCATAGACTCAACACTGCCCATAGACTCAACACTGCCCATAGACTCAACACTGCACCATAGACTCAACATTGCCCATAGACTCAACACTGCCCATAGACTCAACACTGCCCATAGACTCAACACTGCACCATAGACTCAACACTGCCAATAGACCCAACACTGCCCGTAGACTCAGCACTGCCCGTACACTCGGCACTACCCGTACACTCGGCACTGCCCGTACACTCAACACTGCCCATAGACTCAACACTGCCCATAGACTCAACACTGCACCATAGACTCAACACTGCCCCTAGACTCAGCACTCCCCATAGACTCAACACTGCCCATAGAATCAATACTGCCCATAGACTCAACACTGCCCATAGACTCAACACTGCCCGTTGACTCAACACTGCCCATAGACTCAACACTGCCCGTTGACTCAGCACTGCACATAGACTCAGCACTGCCCATAGACTCAACACTGCCCATAGACTCAACACTGCACCATAGACTCAACACTGCCCATAGACTCAACACTGCACCATAGACTCAACACTGCCCATAGACTCAACACTGCCCATAGACTCAACACTGCACCATAGACTCAACACTGCCCATAGACTCAACACTGCCCATAGACTCAACACTGCACCATAGACTCAACACTGCCCATAGACTCAACACTGCACCATAGACTCAGCACTGCCATAGACTCAACACTGCCCATAGACTCAACACTGCCCCGTAGACTCAACACTGCCCATAGAATCAACACTGCACCATAAACTCAACACTGCCCATAGACTCAACACTGCCCATAGACTCAACACTGCCCGTAGACTCAACACTGCCCCATAGACTCAACACTGCCCATAGAATCAACACTGCACCATAAACTCAACACTGCCCATAGACTCAACACTGCCCATAGACTCAACACTGCCCGTAGACTCAACACTGCCCATAGACTCCACACTACCCATAGACTCAACACTGCACCATAGACTCAACACTGCACCATAGACTCAACACTGCCCATAGACTCAACACTGCACCATAGACTCAGCACTGCCCGTAGACTCAACACTGCACCATAGACTCAACACTGCCCATAGACTCAACACTGCCCATAGACTCAACACTGCCCGTACACTCGGCACTGCCCGTAGACTCGGCACTGCCCATAGACTCAACACTGCACCATAGACTCAGCACTGCCCATAGACTCAACACTGCCCATAGACTCAACACTGCCCATAGACTCAACACTGCCCATAGACTCAACACTGCCCATAGACTCAACACTGCCCGTAGACTCAACACTGCACCATAGACTCAGCACTGCCCATAGACTCAACACTGCCCGTACACTCAACACTGCACCATAGACTCAGCACTGCCCATAGACTCAACACTACCCATAGACTCAACACTGCACCATAGACTCAGCACTACCCATAGACTCAACACTGCCCGTACACTCAACACTGCACCATAGACTCAGCACTGCCCATAGACTCAACACTGCCCGTACACTCAACACTGCACCATAGACTCAGCACTGCCCGTACACTCAACACTGCCCGTAGACTCAGCCCGATGACGACGACGATGTCACGCCCCCCGCCCCCCAGGTTTGCCCAGGGAGCTGGCCGCGCCGTACCACGCGGCCCAGGCTTGGTGGGAGGCCTGTCCGTGATCACGGCGTCTTCGGCAGCCGCGGCCTTGTCGTCGGGCGGCGGCGCCACGCCGCCAGCGGGCGGCGAGCAACCGCTGGAGCGTCCCTGCATCGTCAACGTCAACGACCTGAAGGAGTTCGACACGCTAGAAAGCGAGGCCGACGACGGATGGGCCGGTGCGTAAAGACACGCATCTCATCGTGTCCCACCAACCCTGGCCCCCGCCCGATTGTAGATTTGGATGCGGCCGGGTGGTGGCTTGTCAGTTGAGCGGCGGGCGGCTTGCAGTCAGAAGGTCAGAGTTCAATTCCCGCTTGATTGGGGTGGGAGGCGGGGGTAGTGGTTGACCTGGCCCATCATCATCATCATCCCTCCTGGGTTGATAGAATGAGTACCACTTTTTTCTTCTTGGTTCTTTCGGTAAAGTCACGTTGACCCGGCCCATCATCATCATCATCCCTCCTGGGTTGATAGAATGAGTACCACTTTTTTCTTCTTGGTTCTTTCGGTAAAGTCGTCACGTAGAAGGGAAATAATAAAATAATCAAAACAAAACATAATAAAATAATTCTCACGACATTTCGGCCACAACGCAAGCAGCCGTTCTCAGGTGGAGAACAGGTCTGTCCAGAGGACAGAGTCTGAATGGCAAGCCCCAGGCTTGGAGCGACTATTTATGCTGGGATGGCGGTGGGGATGGAGTAAGTCAACAGCTAGGGGTACCTATGGATGTACTGCCACCCCCGCCTCAGCCATAGGGCCGTGGAATGTCCACCACTGGCTCCGCGCAGGAGATTGGTCGCCAATGTCTCGATGCTCATTTGAGCGGCAGGAAGCTGCTCCCACTCGTGACTCTTCCGTTGGACTATTCCGTCGGACCGGCGGGCTGTTCCATTATTGACGTGCGTGGCGCTTGCCGTTTAATCTCCTCCCCGCCCCCCCGCCCCCCCAGGCGTTCAGGACGAGGTGGACTACTCGGAGAAGCTCAACTTCAGTGACGACGACGAACCCAACGGCTCCAAGGAGAAGAAGCTTTGGTACGATTTCGATTTAAAGCTTCTTTCGTGACTGCAGGGATTCATCTTCTTGGTTCTTTCGGTAAAGTCGTCACGTAGAAGGGAAATAATAAAATAATGAAAATAAAACATAATAAAATTTCGATTTAAAGCTTTCGTGACTGCAGGGATTCATCTTCTTGGTTCTTTCGGTAAAGTCACGTAGAATGGAAATAATAAAATAATAAACATAAAACATAATAAAATACAATTCTCACGACGTTTCGGCCACAACGCAAGCAGCCGTCCTGAGGACTTCCCTTCTACGTGACTTTACCGAAAGAACCAAGAAGATGAAGCTTTGGTACGGCACGTGATCAAGAGTCGCACGGCCATTCTGAGCCAGCCCCTCTCTGGGCAGGAGGCACACCACGTTTTTCGGGTTTCTCTGATTTGCCGGCTCAGCGGGCCCCTTGAGAGTCCGTGTATCCCCCTCTCTCTCTCTCCAGGGTGGCCCAACAGCGAGCGGATGCCTCTTCGGAGCTATCCATCAAGGCATCTCCACTGATGCAGTCTTCGCAAGCTGGGCCGTATCAGCAGCAACATCAGCATCAGCAGCAGCTCCATCACCATCAGCAGCAGCAGCAGCTCCATCATCAGCAGCAGCAGCAACAGCAGCAGCAGCAGCATCAGCAGGCAAGTTAGGATGCACCCCGACCCAAGGACTGGGACCCGGGAACTTGGCAGTGCAGACGCATCTTCTTGGTTCTTTCGGTAAAGTCACGTAGAAGGGAAATAAAAAAATAATAAAAATTAAACATAATAAAATAATTCTCACGACGTTTCGGCCACAACGTAAGCAGCTGTCCTCAGGTGAAGAACAGGTCTGTCGGAAAGACAGCATCCTTCAGACGCTGTCTTTCCGACAGACCTGTTCATCAGACGCTGTCTTTCCGACAGACCTGTTCTTCACCTGAGGACGGCTGCTTGCGTTGTGGCCGAAACGTCGTGAGAATAATTTTATGATGTTTTATTTTTATTATTTTATTATTTCCCTTCTACGTGACTTTACCGGAAGAACCAAGAAGATGAATCCCTGCAGTCACGAAAGAAGCTTTAAATCGAAAAGTGCAGACGCAGTGAAACCGACACGGCCGTTATGAACTCGGACCCAGGCCTTGAACCAGAGCCAGCATGTGGGCCTTTTGAAATGAGGTCGTGGGCCGTGTGAAACAAAGTAACCGGGCCGCGTCTGGCCCATGGGTCGTGTGAAACAAAGTAACCGGGCCGTGTCTTGCCCATGGGTCGTGTGAAACAAAGTAACCGGGCCGCGTCTTGCCCATGGGTCGTGTGAAACAGAGTAACCGGGCCGTGTCTTGCCCATGGGCAGCAGGCAGGCGTTGTGTGACCGCTTCGTATCTCTCTCTCTCGCCCTCTCTCGCTGTGCCGCAGAGCTGGAAGGTGCCCGGCCGCCCCGGCTTCGAGCGCCGTCTCGCCCCGCCGGAACTCCCCTGCCCCGTGGTAGCGCTCGCAGCTTCACCACCGCCACCACCAGCGGCACTCACGCCGGCACTAGCAGCAGCGGCGCACGCAGAGGGAAAGCAGCGCTAGCAGCAGTAACACTGGTAGCACCAGCAGTAGCAGCACTGTCAGTACCAGCAGCAGCAGCACTATCAGCAGTAATACCGGCAGCGTTTGCAACAGCACAAGCAGTCCACGCACGATTACTGGCGGCAGTGGCGGTTGCATTGACAGCGCTGTCGGTTGTAATTAACACTGACGGTGCTAGAAGCAGCACTAGCATTGGCAGCACCAATCGGCGGTAATACCGGCAGCACTGGCAACAGCACCGCCATCGCTGGTGCACGTACTACCACTCGCAGTAATAACAGCAGTACTAGTGCTAGCGGGTACAAGCAGCGCTGAGGGAGGAAGTGTTAACACTTCCAGCGGGAGAAGTCATCAACACCAGCAGCCTTGGCACTAGCAGATGTGACCGCTCCGCCCTCACCCACCCACCGCCGTCATTCCTAACACACCGTGCCCGTCTCGTCCACAGGGGCAGCGAGTGCAGTCGCCACTCTTGGGCTCGCAGCCTGCGCCCCATCACCTACACCAGCACCACCTTCACCAGCAGCAGCAGCAGCACCAGCAGCAGCAGCACCACCTAATACAGCAGCAGCAGCAGCACCAACAACAGCAGCACCACCTCCACCAGCTCCACCCGCAGCAGCAGCAGCATCCGCAGCAGCACCACCCGCACCAACAACAGCACCACCACCTCCCTCAGCAGCAGCAGCAGCTCCACCACCAGCAACAGCTGCAGCTGCCGCTGGCGCTCATGCCGGGACGTCCCGGCCTGCAGGCGCCGTCGTCCATGCCGCCCGCCGTCGCCGTCGTCGTTGCGGCCGCCGCCGTGGCGGCAGCGGCGGCCGCGGCGTCCGCTGCCGGCGGCGGCGGTGGCATAGCGGGCGGGGGCATCCTCCCCGCCCCCGGAGGAGGGGGGCCCTTGCCGGTGCCGCCACCACCGGCGCCGGGCTCGCCCGTGGCTCCCGCGCCGGGAGCCAAGGCGCCGTCGGAGGAGGCGGAGGACGAGGCGTGGCGGCAGCGCCGGCAGCAGGCGAGCGGCGGCGTGTCGGCCGCGGTGGAGCGGGCGCGGCGCCGGCGCGGGGCGGAGGAGCGGCGCATGGAGGAGGAGCGCCTGGCTGCTTGCGCCGAGAAGCTGAAGCGCCTCGACGAGAAGATGATGCTGATGACGCAGGCGACGGCGCTAGCCGGCGGAGGGCAGCAGCAGCAGGCGGCGGTGGCGGCGGCGGTGGGGACCGGGCAGGCGCGCGCCGGCTCTGCCGAACTGCGCGACGGAGGAGCCGCGGTGACGGCGCCGGCGGCGGCGGCGGCGACGGAATTGGCGATGTGAGTGGATGCTGGCGGGGGGAGGGTGGAGTTTGTGTGTCGTGCGCGTGTGCTGCTGTGTGTGCGTGTGCTGTGTGTGCGCGTGTGCTGCTGTGTGTGTGTGTGTGGTGTCCTCTGCACAGCGGTAGTGTAGTGGGTAGCGCTACGCTGGCCACGACCCCCTCGTGTGCCACAGTGCCGGCCTTCATAGGCGGTCGCTAACGGCACTTGCCCCAGCGGTCTGTTAAAGGCTACACGGGGGATCTTTGTGTGGGGAGCAGTAGTGTAGCGGTTAGCGCGCCGCGCTATGAACCCGGCGACCCGAGTTCGATTTCCGCTCACGGCCAACACCAGTGTGACGATTATATGAACCGGTGCTGGGCGTGGTGCTGGCCAACATCACCCCCATCGTGTACCGTTCCGGCCTTCATAGGTGCTTGCTCTAAACAGCACTTGTCTCTACAATCTGTTAAGGCTATACAAGGGATCTTTGTATTTTTGGTTCTTTCGGTAAAGTCACGTAAATAGAATAAAATAAAAAATAGAATGAAAATAAATTTAAAATAATAAAAGCAAAAAACCCACGACGTTTCGATCGCAACACAAGGGGTCTTCATCAGGCGATCGAAACGTCGTGAGGTTTTTAAGCTTTTATTATTCTCAATTGATTTTATTTTCTATCTACGTGACTTTACCGAAAGAAACCAAGAATATGAATTCCTGCAGTCACGAAAGTTTTCGGTCAAAATTTCGGGGATCTTTGTATTTGGTGTCCTCTTGTCCCATGTATTGTGCACTGCGTGTTATTGGCGCGGTGTTTGTGCGCTCCGTACGTGTGCCGTGCGTTGGTTTGTGCACCGCTCTGTGTGAGTGGAGCTCTGTGTAATTGGACTCGCAAGTGACTCTCTGTTTCCCCTGCATCTCCCCCCCCCCACCCCAACTCTTCCTCTCTCATCGTTTCGCTCTCTCTCTACTAATTTCCCTCTTCCCGCTCTCTCACCTGCATCACTCTCTCCACTTCTCTTCTCTTCATACCCTCCCATCTCCTCCTGTTCCCTTCTCACTCCTCTCCTTTTCCCCTATCTCTGTTTTGTGCCTCCTATCGGGCTTACTCCTCTCCTCCACCCTTTTCCCTCCATTCCCTCGTCATTGTCATCCTCACGATCGTCATCATTGTCTTTGTCGTCATCGTCATCATTGTCTTCGTCATCATCGTCATCCTCACCTTCGTCATCATCATCTTACTCGTCATCATCATCATCCTCATGGTCGTCATCATCGTCATCCTCATGATCGTCATCATTGTCTTCGTCGTCATCGTCATCATCGTCATCCTCACGATCATCATTGTCTTCGTCGTCATCGTCATCCTCACCTTCGTCATCATCTTCCTCGTCGTCGTCGTCGTCATCATCGTCATCATTGTCTTCGTCGTCATCATCATCATCCTCACCTTCGTCATCATCATCTTCTTCTTCATCGTCGTCATCATTGTCATCCTCACGATCGCCATCATCGTCGTCATCGTCATCCTCACGATCATCATCATCCTCACCTTCGCCATCATCGTCATCATCATCCCCATCTTCTCTCTCACAGTCGAACTCCCCGATCCGACTCGGAGCTCAAAGTGGCTCCCGCCGCTCCTCCTCTTCCCGCCGCCGCTGCTGCCGCTGCTGCTACATCGTCCTCCACCACCACCACCACCTCGCCCGCCCCCCCCTCCTCTTCCTCCTCTTCCTCCTCTTCCTCCTCCACGCCCCTCCCCTCGGGCACCACCTGCTCCGCCCCGCCCCTCCCCCCGCTGAAGCCGGCTCCCGCGCTGGCGCCAAAGAAAGAAGCGGAGGCTGCGGCGGTCGGCGTCCCCGGCGGCACCGGCGGCACCGGCGCGTGCCGGATCCGGATCGGCGCGGAGAGCGGAGCCGGCAATCGAAGTATCGGAGCACACGGTACGGAGATGGGGTGGTGGGTGCACGAATCTCTAAATGGCCGGGGTTGGAGACTGTGTAGCCGCTCGCTCACTCACCAACTCACCAAGCTACCCACCCACTCATCTGTCCGCTCACCGGCTGATACCCTCGCTCACCCGCTCACGAACTCGCACACCTACCCACCCACTGTCACGTCTCCCTGCGCGCTCGCTCGCTCACTCACTCGCTCACCCGCTCACATGCTCACCCACCCACTCGCTCATCTACCTGCTCGCTCTCTCACACGCTCACAAACTCACCCATCCACTCGTCTACCTGCTCACTCTCTCACTCACCCGCTCACAAACTCACCCATCCACTCGTCTACCTGCTCGCTCACACGCTCGCAAACTCACCCACCCACTCGTCTACCTGTTCACTCACCCGCTCACAAACTCACCCATCCACTCGTCTACCTGCTCGCTCACACGCTCGCAAACTCACCCACCCACTCGTCTACCTGCTCACTCTCTCACTCGCTCACAAACTCACCCATCCACTCATCTACCTGCTCACTCTCTCACTCGCTCACAAACTCACCCACCCACTCGTCTACCTGCTCACTCTCTCACTCGCTCACAAACTCACCCATCCACTCGTCTACCTGCTCACTCTCTCACTCGCTCACAAACTCACCCATCCACTCATCTACCTGCTCACTCACCCGCTCACAAACTCACCCACCCACTCGCTCGTCTACCTGCTCGCTCTCTCACTCGCTCACAAACTCACCCATCCACTCGTCTACCTGCTCGCTCACACGCTCGCAAACTCACCCACCCACTCGTCTACCTGCTCACTCTCTCACTCGCTCACAAACTCACCCATCCACTCGTCTACCTGCTTGCTCACACGCTCGCAAACTCACCCACCCAATCGTCTACCTGCTCACTCTCTCACTCGCTCACAAACTCACCCATCCACTCATCTACCTGCTCACTCTCTCACTCGCTCACAAACTCACCCACCCACTCGTCTACCTGCTCACTCTCTCACTCGCTCACAAACTCACCCATCCACTCGTCTACCTGCTCACTCTCTCACTCGCTCACAAACTCACCCATCCACTCGTCTACCTGCTCACTCTCTCACTCGCTCACAAACTCACCCATCCACTCATCTACCTGCTCACTCTCTCACTCGCTCACAAACTCACCCATCCACTCATCTACCTGCTCACTCACCCGCTCACAAACTCACCCACCCACTCGCTCGTCTACCTGCTCGCTCTCTCACTCGCTCACAAACTCACCCATCCACTCGTCTACCTGCTCACTCTCTCACTCGCTCACCCACTCACCCATCCACTCGTCTACCTGCTCACTCTTTCACTCGCTCACCCGCTCACAAACTCACCCACCCACTCGCTCATCTACCTGCTCGCTCTCTCACGCTCACAAACTCACCCATCCACTCGTCTACCTGCTCACTCTCTCACTCGCTCACCCGCTCACAAACTCACCCACCCACTCGCTCATCTACCTGCTCGCTCTCTCACAAGCTCACAAACTCACCCATCCACTCGTCTACCTGCTCACTCTCTCACTCGCTCACCTGCTCACAAACTCACCCACCCACTCCCTCATCTACCTGCTCACTCTCTCACTCGCTCACAAACTCACCCACCCACTCCCTCACCTACCTGCTCACTCTCTCACTCACTCACCCGCTCACAAACTCACCCACCCACTCCCTCATCTACCTGCTCACTCTCTCACTCGCTCACAAACTCACCCACCCACTCGCTCATCTACCTGCTCGCTCACTCACCCGCTCGCTCTCTGCCACCGCGCGGGTGCGCGCCTGTGCCTTCACAGATCCCCCTCTGGCGCCGGCGGGCTGGAAAGAAGGCGCGGGCCGCGTGTCCCTCCCCGTCTCCACCTCCCTCTCCGCTAGCGCCACCGCCAACATCGGCAACAACAACAGCAGCAGCAGCAGCAGCAGCAGCAGCAGCAGCATGAGCTCCATCAAGAACGCAGCAGCAGCAGCAGCTTCCGCGCAACCGCCACCAACCCCGACTCCGACACCGCCACCTCAGAAGCCGGCGCCGGCGGCGGCGCCAGCCCCTGTCGCTGCGCTGACGGCGGCAGCGTTGGCGCCAGCCTTGGCGCCGCAGCCGCCGCCGCCGCCACCGCCCGCGGACGAGGAGAGGGGGGCGGGGGAATCGGTGGGGGGGGAGGGCGGCATGGGGGGGCCGCCGAGGGAGCGGGCTGGGGCGATGGTGGCGCAGCAAGCGGCGCCAGCGCACGCCTACTCCCGCCACTTCCAGAAGACGCTGCCGCCGAGATTCCAGCGCCAGCAGCAGCAGGTGGGTGGGTGGGTGGGCTGACGGGCGGGTGGGTGGATGGGGATGGGGGGGGCGTGCGTGGTGAGTGGGTTTGGGTCGGTTGATGGGTGTGGGTGGATGGGTGTAGGTGGGTGGGTGTGCGTGGGTCGGTGGATGGGTATGGGTTGGCTGGGCGAGTGTGGTTCGGTGGGCGGGTGGGCGGGTGTGGGTGGGTCGGTGTGGGTGGGTGTGGGTCGGTGGATGGGTGTGGGCGGATGGGTGGGTTTGGGTTGGTGGGCGGGTGTTGGTGGGTGGGTGTGGGTGGGTGTGGGTCGGTGGATGGGTGTGGGTCGGTGGATGGGTGTGGGCGGATGGGTGGGTTTGGGTTGGTGGGCGGGTGTTGGTGGGTGGGTGTGGGTGGGTTTGGTGGGTGGGTGGGTGTGAGTTGGCAGTGTGGTCAGTAGGAGGGCAGTGCTGGTAATTCTGCGTGCGGTGTTTGCGCCGCGCCCACTGCTCGCGAGTGAAGCACACGTCCCTCCGTGCCGCTGTGGCCTCAAACGGAAAATAAATGTCGTCGGTGTGACGCTCTCGTATACACAACAACAACACCAGCAGCCGCCATTCGCCACTGAGCGGCGGTGACGTCACCACGGCACTTGCGCCAGGCCAGGTGCGCTCTGGCGGTCACGAAGACAAAGATCCCCCGTATAACCTATTCACAGACTTGGGGCAAGTGCTGTTTGCGAGCAACACCTATGCAGGCCAGCACGGCACACGAGGGTTGGGTGGCCAGCACCACGCCCGGCTTTCTCTGTTGGTGATGTTTACACACACTGCACTCGTTGGAGGCCGAATCGACCTAGGGGAGGCCCAGGACCTGTTGAGATAATCGGCGTTGTTGGTGTTGGTGGTCGTGAGTGGGACGTCACCACGGCGCCTGTGCCAGGCCAGGTGCACGTTGAGGCCACGCACTACGCACACACACACACGCACACACGGCGAGAGCACTAACGTCCTGAAACATCTCTCTGCCCAACCACAGGAGCAGATGTTGAAGCACCACTGGCAGCAGCACCAGCATCAGCAGCAACCGCAGCAACAACAGCAGCAGCAGCAGCTGTCGCACTCGGGGCTGACACCGCCACCGCAGCAGCAACAGCAGCAGCAGCAGCAACAGCAGCAGCAGCAACGGACTCAGTACCAGGGCGGGATGGTGCCCGGGCCTCCTCTGCCATCGCTGTCCATCAGCTACGACCCGCGCTGGATGATGATGCCCACCTACATGGACCCGCGGATGATGCAGGCGGGGGGGAGGCACGGCTCCTCGTCCACGCAGGCGGCCGCAGGGATGCATCATCCTTCAGGTGGCGCTAGGCGGCGCGGCGCAAACTCACCAGTCAAGTCTCGCTCGTGTGTGTGTGCGTGTCTCGCTTGTGTGTGCGTGTCCGTGTGTGTGTCTCGCTCGTGCGTGTCCGTCCGTGTGTCTCGTGCGTGAGTGCGTGTCCGTGCGTGTGTCTCGCTTGTGTGTGCGTGTCCGTGTGTGCGTCTCGCTCGTGCGTGCGTGTCCGTGTGTGTGTCTCGCTCGTGAGTGTGTATCCGTGTGTGTCTCGCTTTTGAGTGTGTATCCGTGTGTGTGTCTCGCTCGTGAGTGCGTGTCCGTGTGTGTGTCTCGTGCGTGAGTGCGTGTCCGTGTGTGTGTGTCTCGCTCGTGTGTGCGTGTCCGTGTGCGTGTCCGTACGTGCGTGTCCGTGTGTGTGTCTGGAGAGCGGTGGTGTAGCGCTACGCTGCGCTACAGACCCGGCATCCCGAGTTCGATTCCCGCTTGCGGCCAACACCTGTGACGATTATCTGTACCGCTCCTGGGCCTCCCCTAGGGTGACTCAGCCTCAAATTATTACCTGGTGCGATGTGTAGTAAGCGTCACCACTGTGGAGACAAAGGCGGCCGGGCGTGCCGCCGGCCACCCACCCCCTCGCGCGCCGTGCCGGCCTTCGTAGGTGCTCGCTAACAGCACTTGCCCCAACGGTCTGTGAAGGCTACACGGGGGATCTTTGTCTTTGGAGACAAAGTCGGCTGGTCGTGCCGCCGGCCACCCACCCCCTCGCGCGCCGTGCCGGCCTTCGTAGGTGCTCGCTAACAGCACTTGCCCCAACGGTCTGTGAAGGCTACACGGGGGATCTTTGTCTTTTGGAACCTCAACGGGATCTGCTTGTCCCCTCCCTCTCTCCCCGCCCCCCTCGCCGCTACCGCAGCCGGCCTGCTAGCGCCAAAGCAAGCCCTGCGCCGGGAACACCCGGACGGCGCTCCTGCCTCTGCGCTGGAGTCTTATCTCCAGCACGGCGGCGGCGGCGGCGGTGGCGTCACGTCCACCAACGCACAGCCGCTCTCTCAAGGTCACGGGGGTGAGTTCGCTCGCTCCTCTGTCATCCAGCAGCGGTACCAGCAGCAGCACCAGCAGCAGCACCAGCAGCAGCACCAGCAGCAGCACCAGCAGCAGTACCAGCAGCAGTACCAGCAGCAGTGCCAGCAGCTGTACCAGCAGCAGTACCAGCAGCTGTACCAGCAGCAGCACCAGCAGCAGCACCAGCAGCAGCACCAGCAGCAGCACCAGCAGCTGTACCAGCAGCAGTACCAGCAGCAGTACCAGCAGCAGTACCAGCAGCAGTACCAGCAGCAGTGCCACCATCATCACCATCCGCCTAATGCACCAACAGCACCATCACCCATTTTTTTTGTTATTTTCACATGAACATAGCCACCTCCGCTGCTTTGAACGTGGCTTTACCGAAAGACCCGCAGAATATGAATTCCTGCAGTCACGAAAGCTGTAAGTCGAGGTTTAACCGCCTCTACGGGGACGGTTTCCACACAACTATTAGATCTTTTAACAGACTTCGAGACAAGAAGGCTATAAACCTTTAAAACAGTCTGCCTCGGCCGCTTTGCCCCTCTTACTTTTTCTTTTCCTTATGACGAACGCTTGTGTTGCGATCGAAACGTCATCGTTTTTTTATTTGTATTATTTAGTATTATTTTTATATAAAAAAAATATATTTTTGTATTTTTTGTTTGTTATTTTCACATTAACATAGCCACCTCCGCGCATTGAACCTACGTACGCGACTTTACCGAAAGACCCAAAGAATATCACCCATCTAACCCACCAGCAGCACCAGCATCAATGCAACCATCATCACCATCACCACCATCAATCACCACCATCACCACCATCACCCACCTAATGCACCATCACCACCATCACCACCATCACCATCATCACCCACCTAATGCACCAGCGGCAATGCAACCATCACCACCATCATCACCATCACCACCATCCATCACCACCATCACCCACCTAATGCACCAGCATCAATGCCACCATCACCACCATCACCACCATCACCACCATCACCACCATCACCCACCTAATGCACCATCACCACCATCACCCACCTAATGCACCAGCATCAATGCCACCATCACCACCATCACCACCATCACCCACCTAATGCACCAGCAGCAGCAACAGCGCCACCCTTGCCCACCTCCGCCAACGGCGGCGCTGACCGCCAGATCCACCCAAACGTTGCCTCTCCCCCCCCTCAACCCCACCAATTGTTTCCAGATTTGAAGCTTTCGTGACTGCAAGGATTCATATTCTTAGGTTTTTTCCGGTCAAGTCACGTAGGTAAAAAATAAAAATTAATAAAAGTAAAATAAAAATAAAATAAAAATCAAGATATTTACTTGATACAGCTTTCATGCTGTGAGGGGTCCACCTGAAGACGGAAGCTTGTGTTGCCTCCGAAACGTCGTGATTTTTATTTTATTTTAATAAAAATTTTATTAACTTAATTTTTTACCTATGTGACTTTACCGAAAAAACCTATTGTGCCACCTTGCCGTGCATTCACCCGCCCGGCGCCCCCGGCCCATCGTCGCCGGCGCTGCCGCGGCTCGTCGTATGACCGTTTGCCTGCGCCCGTCTCCCCCGTCCGTCCCCGCTAGCGCCGGCAGGACTCCTGCTGCGGGAGCGAGCGACGCCCCCCGCGGACCCGCCACCCCCTCCCCGCGCCGTCTGGGGTTCGGCGGAACCGTCGGAGCCAACGCGCCGCGTCTCCCCTTCCTCCACCGCCGTCACCCCCACCTCGCCGCCACCGCAGCAGCACCAGCAGCAGCAGCATCATCAGCAGCAGCAGCAGCCTCCCCGCTTCCTTCAAGACTCTCGGTAACGGGAGAGTCGTCCGCGGCTACGGGTCGTCCCGCAGGGCGCAACGGGACTCGGCATCGTTAATTATTACTGCGGGAGGGATCCGATGAGCCGCAAAAACTCCTTAGCACGTTCTAGATTTGAAGCTTTCGTGACTGCAAGGATTCATACTGTTAGGTTTTTTCGGTAAAGTCACGTAGGTAAAGAATTTAAATTAATAAAAGTAAAATAAAACAAATTAGCACGGACGTACGGCAGGGGCACGGGTGTCAGGGGTCGGCAGGGTTTGCCGGGCGTGGTGGCTCTGGCCACCCGCTGCCCCCCGCTCAGGCGCTGCTGCTGCTGCTGCTGCTGCTGCTCGCCGCTCGCAGCGTTTGCCCCAACAGCCGGCGAACCCTTCCCCGTTCTGAGACGAACGCAAATTGCAGGGCGGTTGGGGTGTTCCGTTCGTCGTTGAATCTCGGAACGCGCGAGCGACTCGGCCGTTAATTGTTGTTTCGAGAGGCGTTGGTAGTAGGTCAACGCGTAGGCTCTCTCGCGACCAATGTTTTGTTGGGTTATATCGCGTAAATGTAAATGCTGTGTCGTTAAACCCGCCACCACCCGACACGGCCAATTAGTAAGGTGAACAGAACGGGGCCATCTTCTTGGTTCTTTCGGTAAAGTCACGTAGAAGGGAAATAATAAAATAATAAAAATAAAAACGTAATAAAATACAATTCTCACGACGTTTCGGCCACAACGCAAGCAGCCGTCCTCAGGTGAAGAAACAGGTCTGTCGGAAAGACAGCGTCTGAATTTCAGACGCTTCACCTGAGGACGGCTGCTTGCGTTGTGGCCGAAACGTCGTGAGAATTATTTTATTATGTTTTATTTTTATTTATTATTTCTCTTCTACGTGACTTTACCGAAAGAACCAAGAAGATGAATCCCTGCAGTCACGAAAGCTTTAAATCGAAAACTAGAACGTGGCCAATTCGTTTACTTGTACAGCACACCCGGTGTTTTGGAGAGTAAACCCACAACGGGTACGATTCGTGTACGCCGTTGTTGGAGGCCGTAGTCTCAGCAGCGCCGCTGCGTTTGAAGACGTCGTTGCTGACCACAGAGAAGCGTAGCGGCACGACCGCCGGCACTCGACCGATATCCGGCGCCGACACGGCGCGACACGCACACCCCCTGCCCGCCGCATGGCCTTGTGGGAGCCTCGGTACGTCTCCCGACCTTGAAGACGTACTGGCAAAGGGTTGAGAGGCTACGGCAGTGCGCGGGGAGATTCTTTGTAAAGAAACTTGCGGCCCGCCAGCGAGCAAAACTTTTTTTTAAATCCTTTATATTAAGTTCACTTGCTTGCTTGCTTGCGCGCTTACGACCGTGCAAATCTTTCGGTCGTTTTTTAACCCACTTCCCGTGATCCAATCGAGCTGACATTTTGCACACAGACTCGTTGTGCGTGACAATTTATTTTCGTGAAAAAACAATTCCCTAAATTTTACACTTTTTAGGAGAAATTTTTTTTTCATATTTAATTTAAAATACCAATGTGATAAAAATGAAACTCTTACTCAAGAAAAACAGAAATGAATAATAAAATAAAACCGATGCTACGCATATAAAGGATTTATAGTGAAAAACTTTGTTTTTACGGGTTAATTTTTTTATCGAATGTCGTACGATAATGGTTTACAGCAACGCGCCCATCCACTGCTGGATGAAGGGCCTACCTCCCACGGCGCCGCCGCGAGCGGGTCGTGGGACGTTGAGGGCGGGTGTCATCCGAGCGTGTGTACATTGCGACGAATGCGTACGTGCATGCGTTTAACGCGTTTGTTTTCGGCGCAGGCGTGACCTCGTGCTGGGCTCGCGCTCCGAGCAGCAGCACCAGCAGCACCACCTCTTCGACACGGACGACGTGTCCCCGCACCACCACGTCCCGGCGATGTACCGCGACCTGTTTGATGACGGTGGCGGCGGCGGCGGTGGCGGCATTCGATCGGCCCCGCGGTCTTACCGGGACAAGCAGATGTTCCAGCAGCAGCAACAGCAGCAACAGCAACAACAGCAGCAGCAGCAGCAGCACCACTTGCCTCACTACGAGAAGGTAGTGCGACTGCGACGGGAAATGCGATCACGGCGCACACCATCGACCATTCGCGGCGAGCCGCACCGGCTGACGATTAAACGGGGGATCGGTCTCAAGCACGTGCCGCGTTTGGTCCGCGCACACAGAATCAGGATGGTGATTTATACTCGCAGGAGGAATCCGATGAGCTATGAAGCTCTTTCTCAGATGTCTAGTCAGGGGTACGGTGTAAGAACGTCGTGCCAATGGGAGGTGCGGGAAATCGTCACCGGTGTTGGCCGTGAACTCGGGTCACCGGGTTCCGTAGGGCAGCGCGCTAACCGCCGCACTACCGCCCCCCCCCATCGCCGCCGCGCCCATCGCGTTCCTCCGCCCGCACCGGAATTAACGCCGGCGCGGCCATTGTGTGCCTTGGTCGTTACCGCTCCCCCCTCACCCTCCCGCCCTCCCCACTAACCCACCCACCCACCCCACCGCCCCTTCCGCCCACAGCTGTACCGGCACGCCGAGCTCGCGTCGCCCGACGACTCGCCTCGCTCCCCACTGCCGCGGAGGATCGGCGGAGAATCGTCGTGCGGCACCAGGAAGGAAGCTGGCGGTGGCGGTGGCGGCGGAGGCGTTTCGGCATCGCGTGGTGACGAGAGGGAGAGAGAACCCGAAGCCGGAGCCGTAGTGGGCGGATTGGCGGCGCGGGGAGACACCCGGCAGAGGGGAGAGGGTGAGTGGCGCGCCGGTGTTGAAGTGGTTGCCGTTGCCGAGGGCTGTCTGAACCGGTCCTTTGGCGATCCCCTAGGTCGACCCGGCCTCAAATGAGTATCTGGTGTGGTGTGTAGCGAACATCGCACCAAAGGCGGCCGGGCGTGGTGTTGGCCACTCACCCGCTCGTGTGCCGTGCCGGCCTTCATAGGTGCCGCTGCTTGCTAACAGCACTTGCCCCGGCAGTCTGTTAATAGGCTCGTGGTGTTTGTGGTATTTTAACAACAGGGTGTCTTTCACGCTAATAGTATCCCACAACGCTGTACAGCAAGGTCTCAGGGTATGCGGCGGGGGGGGGTGGGTCAGTGTACGTGCACGAGCTGGCGTGGTGGCGGGCTGCGTGACTTCCTCGCCTTGGCTTCCGTGCGTGCGAACGAAAGTACGAGTTGCACAAAGCGTGTAACCGAGCCAGTCGCGTACTCCGAGACCTGACCTTTACATTCATTATATATGAGGACCAAATTTCCATGTGGAGCCACTACCAAGCAATTGGAAACCCTGTTACCAAGCAAAATCTAAAATGAATAGACAAATGAATTAAAAGTATTGTCGTTCAAGGGATGGTGTTGCGAGGTTTTAGTTGCAGTGAAAGTGTGGTGGTGATTGTGGTGGCGGTGGTTTTGCAATTGAGTAGCTGGTGCTGCCAGCTCTAGTTGCGTGGATGGTGGTGCTTGTGTTGATGAAGCTGGCGCTGGTACCTGTCACGGCGATGGCAAATCGGGCTGGTTAATGACGACGGTGTTGCCGATAATCCACCCACCGCCACCTCCCGCAACAACCTCACGGTTTAACACGTAGCAGGCTTTCGCGACCAATATTCATAATCAACGTTTTTGGATTTAGATCGCGTTATTTATAAATGTGTCGTAACCCTCCATCACCCGACACGGCCAATCGGTAAAAAAAAGTGTCACGTTGACCAAAGACAAATAGTTCACTGCTTTAGCCCACCGGTGTGTTGAAGCGTGAAACCACAACATTTACAATTTGAGTAGCACGACGCTTCGCTGGTAATTGTATCCAGCATCATCGGGCAATTCGCCAGAATGGTGAGGCTCTGCTGTCTCTCCCGTTCTTATATAGAGCAGCAGCAGCAGGGTGACCTCACGGTCCGGGCCCCCCCCCTCTCATCCTCCCCCGCCTCCCGCAGGCAAGGCCAGCGCCAAGGCCGCCACTCCGCCCAGCGCCGGCAGCACCAGCGGCAGCAGCACCGCCTCTGGTGGCGCTGGCGAATTTGCGAAGCCGCCGCACTGGAAGGACGGCAAGCTGGAGACCCGCTGGGGGCCCAAGCCGGGTTCCAGCGGCGGCGCCGCCTCCGCAGGCAACGCCAGCAGCAACTCTGCTCCGCTCCAACAGCAGCAGCAGCAGCACCAGCAGCAGCAGCACCAGCAGCAGCCTCCTCGGCGCACCGGCCCCATCAAGAAGCCGGTGCTCAAGGACCTCAAGACGGCCGACCGGGACGACAAATCGGCCGGCTTCTCCGACGGCAAGGCGGCGGGCGGCGACGCCGGCACGGATGGCAAGGAGCCTGGCGCCAGGGGGGGGGCGGCGGCGGCGGGGGGGGGGCGGGAGGGACGCGCGCCCCGACCGCTCGCTCCCCCCGCCCGACGGCGGCGGCGGCAAGGACGGCGGCGCCGGCGGGGTGTTGCCATCGAGGCCTCTGCGCCGTCGCGACCCGGCCTTTGAGCAGCGCGTCTTCCGCGGCCGCGGCGGGGCGACCGTCGGCGGCGTCGGCGGCGGGCTAGCCGCCAACCCCGGCGGCGGCGTCGGCACGAGAGTGTCGAGAGGGGGCGGCGCCGTCGGCTCGCTTGCGGCGGCGTCGCGTGGGACGTGTGCCGGCGGCGGCGGCGCCGGTCCCGGTTGCTCACCGGCGACACGGGGCAGAACCGGCGCCGGGCACCACCGCGAATTCCCAGTTTACCGCGACCCGCGCTTCCGCTACGGCGGCGCCAGCGGCGGGCAGTGGGGCGCGGAGGACGACAGCGAGAATTCCGATGCCGGCGGCGGCGCCGGCGTGGAACTGGCCAAGCGGCGGCGCCAGCAGCGGGCGTCGGTGAGCGACGCCGAGAGCGACGCGCTGGACGGTTGCGGCAGCACCGGCAAGAGAGAGGCGTCCGGCACCACCAGCAACAACAACGGCAGCGGCGGGGGCGGCAACCGTGGGCAGCAGCAGCAGCTGTTGGCGCCAGCTCGGCTGCTCGGGCTAGACCAGCAGCAGCCGCAGCAGCAGCAGCAGCAGCAGCAGGCGGGGTTTGGAGCGGTGAGGGCCGCCGTGGCGCCAGCGGCGGCGTCGGCATCGGCGCCAGCGCCGGCCGCAGGCGAAGAGAAGCAGGACCGGCCGTTTGCGCCGAGGGGGGAGCCGAGTCGCCGGGGCCGTGGGGGGGCGCTGTCGCGGGGCGTGGCGCGCGCCAGCATGGTGCTGTCGGCACGGCACCAGCAGCTGCACCAGCAGCAGCAGCAGCAGCGGCAGCACCAGCACGGTGAGACGTGGAGAGGACCGCAAGACCCGCAGAGACGAACGGGTCTTGTGTTGTGAGTGCTTAAGCGGTGGTGGTGGTAGTGTGATGATGGTGATGGCTTTTGGGGGTGGTGATTGTTTTTGTGGTGGTGTGAGTGATGATGATGATGATGGTGGTAGTGGTGATGGCGGTGATTGTGGTAGTATGTATGTTGGGGGAACGGTCGTGGACCCGGCCACCCGAGTTCGATTCCCGGTCACGGCCACCACCGGTGACGATTATCTGAACCGGTCCTGGGCCCTCCCCTAAGTTGACTCGGCCTCAAATGAGTACCTAGTGCGGTGTGTAAACTTCGCTACTGGGGAGACAAAGGCAGCCGGGCGTGGTGCTGGCCACCCACCCTGGTGGTGCCGGTATTGGATTCTCGGCCGTGATTTATAATAAAAACAACAACCCCCCAGCTCTCCTCCTCCGCAAAATCATCGCCATTCACAATCCGTAGTCCGGTCGGAGAAGTCGACCGCCTCGTCCATGTTCTTAGGTTTTTTCGGTAAAGTCACGTAGGTAAAACATTTAAATGAATAAAAGTAAAATACAAATAAAATAAAAATCACGACGTTTCGGAGGCAACACAAGCTTCCGTCTTCAGTTGGAACCGTCACAGCACGATAGCTGTATCAAGTGAGAGAAATTACAGGAAAACCGTGTTTTTATATTTACTGGTTGAGGGTGGGAGGAGCCAAGGTAGGCTCTGGATATTATTTTTGTGAGGTTCGGTGCGGCTGAAGCACGCTGCTAGGAATGAGCCTTTGTTGTGTAAACAAGGTGCGGATGATGTAAAGGTGCGTGTAAAAGTGACTGAGCCTTTTTGTTATGTGGAGGTGATGCGGCTGAAATCGCTGCCAGGAAATGAGTCTTTGTTGTGTAGAATGGTTGACTGAGCCTTTTGTTATGTAGAGGTGGTGCGGCTGAAATCGCTGCCAGAAAATGAGTCTTTGTTGTGTAGAATGGTTGACTGAGCCTTTTGTTATGTAGAGGTGGTGCGGCTGAAATCGCTGCCAGGAATGCTCGTAGCTTTGTACCTTGACGTTGCCCCCCTCCCGTCCCCTTGTATCCCATCAAACATCTGTCACTGTCCCATTTGTACGGTTTCTCTCGCAGCCATTTGCGTACAAAATAAAACCATTGTCACGCGCACCACGCTTTGCCTGTATTCTGAGCGTAAGAAACCGTTGCAATTGAAGCCGACGAATTTTGTTCAGGGCACTCGGCCGAGGTTGGCGCGGTTACAATCCAGGAAGGAGGGGGGCAGTAGCCCCCCCCTCCCGGTCAATACCGCAGGTGGCTTTGAGATGTTGGTGACTACCTCGCCTGGTATACAGGAGGTCGTGAGTTCCATCCTGACCCTGACAATGCCTGCTGCTGTATATTTAGAGTTTGCATGTGGCTAGGAGATGTTAACTACCTCACCTGGTGTACAGGAGGTCGTGAGTTCGATCCCAACCCTGACGCCTGATGTATATTTGGAGTTTGCATGTGGCTAGGAGATGTTAACTACCTCGCCTGGTATACAGGAGGTTGTGGGTTCCATCTTGACCCTGACAATGCCTGCAGTATATTTGGAGTTTGCGTGTGGCTAGGAGATGTTAACTACCTCACCTGGTATACATGAGGTCGTGGGTTCGATCCTGACCCTGACAACGCCTGCTGTATATTTGGAGTTATAATATGACGAGATGTTAACTACCTTGCCTGGTATACAGGAGGTCGTGGGTTCTATCCCGACCTTGACAATGCCTGCTGTATATTTGGAGTTATAATATGACGAGATGTTAACTACCTTGCCTGGTATACAGGAGGTCGTGGGTTCTATCCCGACCTTGACAATGCCTGCTGCTGTATATTTGGAGTTTGCATGTTCTCCCCGTGGTCGTGTGGATTTTTCTCCGGGTCCTCCGGTTCCCCCCCCCCCCCCAAATTTAGAATCATCGCATGTTTAGAGTAGTTGGCCGCTGTAAATCTCCACGTGATAAGCCACTTCGTTTAGCTATCATCGTTTGTGGCCGGGTCACTTTTGAAAAAGGAGCTAGTTCTATAGTTTAAGTGCTGTTGTACGGTGACAGGAGGACAGACGGAAAGTGGTGAAGGAGGGTTTGGGGTAAGCCTGGTTTTAGCTGGGGACCAGGGCAGGGATTAGTGGTAGGGATGGCAATAGGGGGTTGGGATAATGATAGGGGTAGTGATTGGGGTAGTGATTACGATAGGGGTAGTGATAGGGATAGTGATTGTGGTAGGTAGTGATAGGGGTAGTGATTGTGGTAGGTAGTGATAGGGGTAGTGATTGAGGTAGTGATAGGGATAGTGATTGTGGTAGGTAGTGATTGGGGTAGTGATTGTGGTAGGTAGTGATAGGGGTAGTGATTGAGGTAGTGATAGGGATAGTGATTGTGGTAGGTAGTGATTGGGGTAGTGATTGTGGTAGGTAGTGATAGGGGTAGTGAGGTCAAACTGCCGCCGGGCAATGGCTGGTGACGGTGGTGGGTATGTGGGATGTGTGCGAGGCGCGTTGAGGTGCTTAACGCGTTTTAGCGTGGATTCCCGCAGTCGCGAAAGCTTGAAATCAAGACGAATATATTGTTGACGTAATCTTGGGAATAGCTTTTCTCCTTTTTTCTGCCGACAAAACAGGTGTCAAGATGTCAAAACACCAAACTGAAACCTTTCACGAGGAATCGTGTCCGCATTCATACGTAACCTTGGTTCACACGTACAATTTTTGTTCGGTATGGCAAGGGGCTCTTGAGTACCCTGACCCCCCGATTCGCGCTTGCACACACGACGCGCACTTTCGCTCGCACGCACGGGGCAGCGGGCAGCCGAGGCGAGTCACGCCGCCCGCCCATCTCGACCGGCTCGTGCACGTGAACCGTGACCCTACGTCGTTAACCCCTCTTCACCACCCCCCGTGGAACACGAGGTCACGGGGAGAGCTCCCTCCGTCTTGTCGTTGGCCGGAGGTTCGTCCGACCACGTTCTTCGGTGACGGCGTTTAACCCGCATCGCCCCCCCCCCCCCCCCCCCCCCCGCGCGCGAGAAACAGGTCTCACCAAAGCGCTCGCATCTTTCGCATTTATAACATACGAGCTTTACTACCCGGCTTTGCCCGGGACTTGCATTCACCGCCTTTGTCCCCCCAGTAGCGATGTTCACACAGCAGACCAGTTACTCGTTTGAGGCTGAGGTGGTGGCCGTGAGCGGGAATCGAACTCGGGTCGCCGGGTTTCGTAGCGCGGCGTAGCGCTAACCGCTACGCTACAATGCGTTACGCTTCCACGTGCGCGGGTCACGTGACAGATGTGACGTCACAGCTCACTTGCCGTGCAAAAAAAATCGATGCATTATTGAGCTCCCCCCCCCCCCCCCCAAAAAAAAACACAAGTGTATTTTTATAAGTACCCACATGGCAAATATGAAGTTTGTTGCATGTCGGGAAGTACGCTAAACATTTTGAACAGACACACATCATCACAAGTTTGCCTTTTATACATATGGAGACAGACGATTAGTGAATCATTTACAGTACATTTTATATACACTTACTTTTTACATCTACACTCGTAAAGTTATATATAGTAATCTAGTGGAGTATATAGTAGTGATTTACTAGTATATAGCAGTAATATAGTAGTATATAGTCGTGTGTGTATATACATTCTTATGGGCGAACCCCAACTTACGCAAATTCACGCTTTACATGGATCCCAACCACCCCACGTACCTTGATATATATTATAATATTACTGGTAGGAACGAAGTGAACCAGCCTACAATAGATTATATCGTCCGTCCGTCCAATGTCCGATTAGGTGTAGCAACATCGCCCCCTACTGCAAACACTTGGCAGGACCCTACAAAAACCTTTAGACTCAGTGAGGCTTTTCTGGCTAAACAAGTGTAACATTCCCTTATAATTCCCTGAGATAATTTTAATTAAAACATTTAAGTTAAAAATTAACTCACAGCGGCCTAAAGCCTACAGCTAGGCCTAAAGCCTAGAACTAGGCCTCAAACTCTCCCTTCGTATCGTACCCCCGCCATTTCATTTTATTATAGCCATTCATTTGTTCGTTCCTACATCATCTTCTTGGTTCTTTTGGTAAAGTCACGTAGAAGGGAAATAATAAAAGAATAAAAATTAAACATTTAATAATTCTCACGACGTTTCGGCCACAACGCAAGCAGCCGTCCTCAGGTGAAGAACAGGTCTGTCGGAAAGACAGCGTCTGAATGAACACCACCAAGCTTGGCAGCGTATATTTATGCTGGGTTGGAGGGGGAAGAGCGCCTTGACAAAGGAATAAATATACGCTGCCAAGCATGGTGGTGCTCATTCAGACGCTGTCTTCTCGACAGACCTGTTCTTCACCCGAGGACGGCTGCTTGGGTTGTGGCCGAAACGTCGTGAGAATTATTTTTTATGTTTTATTTTTAAATCCTTTATATTAAGTTCGCTTGCTTGCTTGCTTGCGTGCTTGCTTGCTTGCTTACGACCGTGCAAACCTTTCGGTCGTTTTTTAACCAACTTCCCGTGATCCAATCGAGCTGACATTTTGCACACAGACTCGTTGTGCGTGACAATTGATTTTTGTGAAAAAAGATTCCATAACTTTACACTTTTTAGGATTTTTTTTATATTTAATTACCAATTGCTTAATGGTGCAATGCAATCATCTGACCCATAGGTGGCAGCCATCTCAAGCCAGAGGACGAGACGACTCGAGCCGCCACGCATATAAAGGATTTATAGTGAAAAACTTAGTTTTTACGGGTTAATTTTTTATTTATGTGCTTATTGGTGATTGGGCGGGGGGGGTGTTGGGTGTGTAGGGGGGGTGTCTAAGATCATCATTCGGCTCAACTAAACCCACGGCGTCGCACGCCGGGGGGGTGAACGTATCGATAGCCCTGGCCCTGCTTGGCCCCCCACCCCGAGCCAACGCCGCGCGTTGCGCGAGGCCGCTGCATGCCAGCGGGGAAAGCGGGGGAGGTGGTTGGGGGGGCGGGGGTACGATGTGCGTAACCCCCAACAGCCGGTGCCCTTTCCCAGACCGTGGGTTCGATCCCCCGGTACCTCACCGCCACCCCCCTCCCCCCCCTTGCTCCCTACGGCAGATTGCGTCGATTGCCCTGCCGGCCCCGACGGCTGCTGCTGCTGCCCACTGTCGGCGTCTTCGCCGGCGGCGGCGGGGGGGGGGGCCGCCGGCGGCGGACGGCGCCGGGCGGCCCGGCTTCAACGAGCGCTGCCGGGCGGAGCGACCGCCTCGGCGCCAGCGCCCGGCGCGGCCGCCCCGCCAGGACAAACCGCCGCGTTTCCGGCGCCTCAAGCAGGAGCGCGAAGCCGCTGCGGCCGCGGCGGCGGTGGCCGCGGCGGCGGCTGCCGTCGCCGCTTCGGGCAGCGCCGGCTCGGTGGAGACTCTGTCGCCGCTGTCGTCGCCGACGCCGGCGGGCGCCGGCAACGACGACGACGACTGCGGCGGCTGCTGCGGCGGCGGCAACGACAACAACAACAACGCGGCCGCGGTTTCGTGCGACGCGCCGGCGCAACTCAACTCGGCGGCGGTGGCCGCCGCCGGAGCAAACGGCGCCGGTGGTGCCGGCGGCAGCGCCGTGGCGTCGGGGAGCAAGTCGCCGGACCTGTCCAATCAGAACTCGTCGGACCAGGCCAACGAGGAGTGGGAGACGGCGTCGGAGAGCAGCGACTTCAACGACCGGCGGGAGCGCGACGAGCGCGACGACGCGCTGCAGGCCGCCCTGGCGCTGGCGCCCGCGCCGGCGCAGGAGGGGGCGGCGGCCGACGGTGAGTGGACGCGAAGGCGGCAGAGTTTCCCCCGGCGAAGCCTTTCGGCAAGTGCTGTCGGCGAGTAACGATCCACGCACTTGATCGGCAAGCCGCGGCCGCAGTTGATCTCGAGTAATTCCTGAACTGCTCGTGATCAACCTTGCTGCCTGCGCCCCCCCTCCCCGCTCCCGCTCCCCCCCCAGCAGATCTGGCGGAGTCCGGGGGGGGTGGCCGCAAGGACGGCGCTCCGGGGTCGTCGTCGTCGTCAGCCAAGCGTAGCTTCTCGAGCCAGCGGCCCCTCGACCGCCAGAATCGTCGCCCGGTGGGCAACGGCGCCGGCCAGGGCCAGGGCTACGCGGGCGGAGGGGGAGGAGGAGGGGGGGGGCGGCACCAGCGGGCCAGCCCCGCGGGCAACGCGCGGGCAGACAAGAGGAACGGCCCGGGGTCTAAAGGCAGGAGGCGCAGGTGAGGCGCTGGGGGGTATGGTATGGGAAGGAGAGGGGGGTGATGGGAGTAGGGGGGGTGTGGGGGCGGGAGAGACGGGGAGTCGTGGAAATGGAGACACGGGGGGAGACACGGGGGAGACACGGGGGGGGACACGGGGGGAGACACGGGGGGAGACACGGGGGAGACACGGGGGTAGACACGGGAGAGACGCGGGGGGAGACGCGGGGGGGGACACGGGGGGAGACACGGGGGGAGACACGGGGGGACACACGGGGGGAGACACACGGGGGGAGACACACGGGGGGAGACACACGGGGGGAGACACCACGGGGGGAGACACACGGGGGGAGACACACGGGGGGAGACACACGGGGGGAGACACACGGGGGGAGACACACGGGGAGACACACGGGGGGAGACACACGGGGGGAGACACGGGGGGGAGACACGGGGGGAGACACGGGTGGAGGCAGGAGGACAGAGACGGGGAAGGGAGGGTGGGGACACGGGGTAATGGAGAGGCAGGGAGACACCAATCTCCGTGTCTCTGTGGTGTCTCAGCTCTGTGGAGGACGCGCTGGGAGACACGGGGACACGAGCCATCTCCCCGGCTCCGGACGGCGCCGACGCCCGCGACCCGGTGAGAGGCGGCGCGTCGTCATCGTCATCAAAGTCGTCGTCGTCGTCGTCATCACCAACATCGCCTCCAACACCATCGTCAACATCATCATCACGGCCGTCGCCAACACGATCATCTCCGTCAACATCGTCACTTCCGTGGCCACCGTTGTCATTATCACCACCGTTGTCAACACCACCACCACCGCTATCAATATCATCACTACCATCATCAGCATCATCGCCACCGTCAACAACACCATCACCACCGTCAACACCGTCAACATCATCACTTCACCATCATCATCACCTCCACTATCAATATCATCACTACCATGACCATCACCACCGCTATCAATATCATCGCTACCATCATCAGCATCATCGCCACAGTCAACAACATCACTTCCGTGACCACCGTTGTCATTATCACCACTGTTAACAACACCACCACCACCACCACTCTTAATATCATCACTACCATCATCAGCATCATCGCTGCCGTCAACAACACCATCACCACCGTCAACATCATCACTTCACCATCATCACCTCCACTATCCATATCACTACCATGACCATCAACACCATCATCACTATCAATACCATCATTACCATGACCAACACCACCACTATCAATACCATCACTACCATGACCATCAACACCATCACCACCACTATCAATACCATCACTACCATGACCATCAACACCATCACCACCGTCAACATCATCACTTCACCATCATCATCACCTCCACTATCAATATCATCACTACCATGACCATCAACACCATCACCACCGTCAACATCATCACTTCACCATCATCATCACCTCCACTATCAATATCATCACTACCATAACCTTCAACACCAACACCACCACTTTCACGGAACCGTAGAGTTGACCAGCCCCCCCCCCCAACCCCCCCCCCCCCCATCTCGGAAGCCGCCCACGGCGGGATCGGCCGCGGTGGCGCCGTCCGTCTCCCCGTTTGCCGCCGTGTTCCGCGTCGACCGCGTCATCCCCAGCGACCCGGGCGCCATCGCTCGCGCCGTCACCAACGCCGCCAGCGCCGCACGGAGGCTCGGTGACGGCTCCGGGGGGCGGCAGCAGCAGCAGCAGCGCCAGCAAGGGCAGCAGCAGCAGCATCAGGGGAGAGTGGGCGCTAGCAGGAGGTCGGCGAAGACTGACGCGCTGGCGCAGTTCGACCTCAACAACTACGCCGGTGAGAGGGTGGTGGTGGTTGGTGTGGTGCTGATGGCGGTGGTGGTTGCCCGGTGCTGGTGCGGTGTGTGTGTGTGTGGAGAGAGGTGGCGCTGTTGGAGATGTCGGCTGTGGTTGTGATGATGGTGGTTGATAATTGTTTTTTTACCCTTCTATCTGGCAACAAAACTGACACCTTTTTTACAATGAGTCATGTTTGCATAGACCGCAATACCTGCAGTCGTAATGCAAACAAAAAACACAACTCTGATAATGTATGTGCACTGTCCTTGAAGTTGATTGGTCCACACCCGAGACAGCTTTCCTTAGAGCCTAGTCTCACATGGTGTAGTGTATAGTGTAGTTGTAGGCGCACAACTCAAAGACAACGCACCATCAGAGTGAGAGCTCGGGGTAAAGCATTTACACCATTGGAACCTCTTTTACTGGCAAATGAGGTTCCAATGGTGTAAATGATGGTGGTTGCTTAGTGGTGGTGAGCGTGTGGTGTGGGTGTCTGTGTGTGTGCGTTGGAGTTGTTTAGCACGAAGCCAACCGCTCTAATCAGAGCTGCAGTTCCGTCGAAATTAGTTTTCAGTTTAGTATTGTGGTGTCCGTGTATCGTGGTGTAGTGTGTGGTCTATTGTAGTGTATAGTGTAGTGTATATTAGTGTGTAGTGAGTGTATAGCATTGTGTGTAGTGTATAGTGTAGTACGTAATTATGTTAAACTTCTTTCGCACCGTACGTAGCCAACCACGCTAATGGGAGGACAACAAACTTAACACAAAAAGCTGTTTTTTTTAGTTTATTTTTGTGTTTAGATTTGTGTTTAGTTTGTGATGGCGGTTCTGGTGGTGCTGATAGCGGCGGTGGTGACCAAGGGAATTTCACCAAGTTCTGTTCGTGAGTAGTAGCAGCAGCAGCGCCCCTACGAAGGCCGACACGGCACACGAGAGAGGGGGGGGCGAGTGGCCAGCACCGCGCCCCGGCCGTCTTTGTCTCCCCCAGCTCACCAGCTACTCGATTGAGACCAGAGGTCGCAACCGGGTACCCGATACCCGTACCCTACCCGATACCCTGCTACCCGTACCCGGACGGATACGGGTACCCGTTTGCGACCCTGGTGCGGCCGGGTACGGGTAGGCCGTGAGTCACTGGTGAGTAACAGTTTGTCACTCATTTCCCAACGTCTTGTCTCTTCTCACAATTCAAGTTCCTAGAATCAACCCAACCGCGCCTGCAACATGGCTTCATCCCAGAGGTCGCAATCGGGTACCCGTACCCGATACCCGGCCGGGTACGGGTAGCCGGGTATCGGGTAGGGTACGGGTACCCGTTTGCGACCCTGGTGCGGCCGGGTACGGGTACGGAATCAAAACCCGTTTGCGGACCTCTGTTTGAGACCCAGACCTCTCCACCTCCCCACGCTCTCCCGCCCCCCCCCCCCCACCACCGCTAGGCGTGGTGGTGATCGACCACCGCCCGAAGGGGGACGATGAAGACAACGAAGATCACGAGGACGAGGAGGAGGAGGTGGCCGGGTGTGCGGGAGATGAAGAGGAGGAGGATGGAGAGGCGGTCCCGGTGCTGTCGCGTGGCGGCGGCGGTGGCGGCGGTGGCGGCGCTGCGGCCTCCGTGGACGGCTTCACCCCGGTGGTTTCGCGACGTCAGCGCCGGCAACACGAGGACAGAGGCCTCTCCGTGAGCACGAGCGAGCGCGCGCCCCGCGGCCTTGCCCCCGCTCGGGGTTTTCGTACCAGCCAGGGGCATTCGTTTGGCTCGGCCATCGACTCGAATTCACGACGGCGTGGTGTTCCGTTAGCCTACGGCCTTCGCCCGCTACGCGAGGGCTTGTGCCTTGGGGGGCGGGGGGGGTTTCGCTACGCCTGGAGCTAGGGTCTGGGGCAGAGGTCGCAAACGGGTTTTGATAATTGTTTTTTTACCCTTTTATCTGGCAACAAAACTGACAAAAAGGTGTAATTTCTAGATTTGAAGCTTTCGTGACTGCAAGGATTCATACTCTTAGGTTCTTTCGTAGGTAAAAAAATGAAATAAAAATAAATTTTTATTAATTTTAATTTCATTTTTTACCTACGTGACTTTACCGAAAGAACTAAGAGTATACAAAGGTGTCAGTTTTGTTGCCAGATAAAAGAGTAAAAAAAACAATTATCATATTTTTTACTGGCAAATGAGGTACCAATGGTGGGGTTTTGATTCCTTACCCGTACCCGGCCGCACCAGGGTCGCAAACGGGTACCCGTACCCTACCCGATACCCAGCCGGGTACGGGTAGCCGGGTATCGGGTAGGGTACGGGTATCGGGTACCCGGTTGCGACCACGGGCAGCGGCCGGGGCGGGGGCCGGGTGAGTCTCAGATCGGAATCTTGATTATTTTATTTTCCTGGAGAAAATCGGATGAGCTATGAAGCTCTTTGTTTCACGAATGTCCAGTCGGGGCACCCACCCACCCTGGAGGCTGTTGGGCGGCCGGGAGTAACGTTCGACCGACTTTGGTCGTAAGCCGGATGAGCGTATTTATGTGTATCGGGGTACTCCCTTTTAGCCACGGACGTCAATTGTGTTTAGGTTCCTTTCGCTTGCACTTGGCTCCGAGCTCCGTGACGACCTTTTGACCTTTCAACCCCCCATCTTCTTTCTCACCCACCCCTACCCCCCCCCACACACCCCTACTACCCCCCCTCACACACACACCCCTCCACCCCTACTACCCCCCCACACACACACCCGCCCACCCCTACCCCCCACACACACACACGTCCACCCGCCCACCCCTACCCCCCCACACACACACACGTCCACCTCTACCCCCCCACACACACACCCACTCACCCCTACTACCCCCCCCCACACACACACACACACGTCCACCCGCCCTGGGCCGCTCCCAAAAAGACCGCCACGGCCTCCGCCAACGCCGGAACCGCAACCGCGCCGACCGTCGGCCTCTCGAAAGCGCGCGCCGTCGACAAGACGAAGGCCCAGCGCTCCAACGTGCCGCCCCGTTTTGCTCGCAAGCAGCAGCACCAGCAGCACCAGCAGCAGCAGCAGGCGCCCCACCCGGCTCTGTCCGGCAGACTTGTCGGCGAGCTCCCGTTGCCGCTGTGCGATCGCGGCGACAGGAAGGGCGCCGACCACTCGCTGGGTACGGCGGCGGCGCAAGCGGCGACGTCCGTACGGAGGCAGCAGAGGGCACCGGGCGGAGGGGGAGGAGGAGAAGCCGCCGCGTGGGAGGCCCTGCCACCGTCGCCCTCCATCCTGACGGACGTCGTCAAGAAATGTGAGCGTGGGTTCGTAACGGTCAAATCGAGTGAGTGAGTGAGCGTGTGGGGCAGCGGTGGGCGGTGGTGATGGTAACGCCTCTTTTTGTCGCCCCGGGTGTCGATGATTTTTTAAATTATTATTATAATTTTTTTTCGATTTGAAGCTTTCGTGACTGCAGGGATTCATCTTCTTGGTTCTTTCGGTAAAGTCACGTAGAAGGGAAGTAATAAAATAATAAAAATGAAACATAATAAAATAATTCTCACGATGTTTCGGCCACAACGCCAGACCTGGTCTTCACCTGAGGACGGCTACTTGCGTTGTGGCCGAAACGTCGTGAGAATGATTTTATTATGTTTCATTTTTATTATTTTATTACTTCCCTTCTACGTGACTTTACCGAAAGAACCAAGAAGAAAAAAGTTTTCTTATTATTTGACATGGCCACGACATTTGAGGCTGAGTCGACCTAGGGGAGGCCCAGGACCGGCGTCGGATAATCGTCGCTGGTGTTGGCCGTGAGCGGGAATCGAACCCGGGGTCTTGGCCGTGTTCGTAGCGTACGCCGCGCTAACCGCCACACACCCACGGTTGGCTACGTACGGTGCGAAAGAATTCCAACGTACGCACGTGACCCAGAGGTCGCAACCGGGTACCCGATACCCGGCTACCCGTACCTGGCCGGGTACGGATACGGGTACCCATTTGCGACCCTGGTGCGGCCGGGTACGGGTAGGCCGTGAGTCACTGGTGAGTAACTGTTTGTCACTCATTTCCCAACGTCTTGTCTCTTCTCACAATTCAAGTTCCTAGAATCAAGCCACCCGCGCCTGCAACACGGCTTCATCCCAGAGGTCGCAATCAGGTACCCGTACCCTACCCGATACCCGGCCGGGTACCGGTAGCCGGGTATCGGGTAGGGTACGGGTACCCGTTTGCGACCCTGGTGCGGCCGGGTACGGGTAAGGAATCAAAACCCGTTTGCGACCTCTGACGTGACCCAACCACACCCCCCCCCTCCCCCTCCTAACCCCCCCCCCCCCCACCTCTGTCTCCCTCCCACAATGCCGTGTGCCACAGCGGCGTTTGGAGCGATCAGCTGTTCCCTGCCACCCGTGAGCGCCTGGACCAAGCCCCTCGCTTCCTTCCGCGTGGCGGACGTGACGGCCGGCACCGAGGTAAGGCCCCTGGGGGTAGCGACACGGCCATTGTGATGATGACCAGAGGTCGCAACCTGGTACCCGATACCCGTACCCTACCCGATACCCGGCTACTCGTACCCGGCCGGGTACGGGTACCCGTTTGCGACCCTGGTGCGGCCGGGTACGGGTAGACCGTAAGTCACTGGTGAGTAGCCGTTTGTCACTCATTTCCCAACGTCTTGTCCCTTCTCACAATTCAAGTTCCTAGAATCAACCCACCCGCGCCTGCAACGTGGCTTCATCCCAGAGGTCGCAATCGGGTACCCGATACCCGTATCCTACCCGTACCCGGCCGGGTACGGGTAGGGTACGGGTACGGCCGGGTACGGGTACCCGTTTGCGACCCTGGTGCGGCCGGGTACGGGTACGGGTAAGGAATCAAAACGCTTTTGCAATGATGACCCCCTTGAGACAGACACTCAAGACAGACCCAGGATGTCAAGCGCTGCCCCCCATACCGTTCGAGGGCTGAACGATGAATCGATTTCGAATCGAAATCGCAATTTGAAACGACGCGATTATCAAATCGCAAAGGCTGCGATTTTTTGCGATTTGAAAAGTCCTATTACTTTATACTCTTTGGTAAAGTCACGTGGGTAGAAAAGTACTAGATCACGACGTTTCTTCGACCGCAACACGAGGAATCGTCATTAAGTGGGACAACCACAGCAAGAACACAAACTGCTGTAGTAGCTGTTGCGATCGACACGTCGTGAGCTATTACACTGGTCAACACACTTTTTAAATCCTTTATATTAAGTTCGCTTGCTTGCTTGCGTGCTTGCGTGCTTGCGTGCTTGCTTGCTTACGACCGTGCAAATCTTTCGGTCGTTTTTTAACCCACTTCCCGTGATCCAATCGAGCTGACATTCTGCACACAGACTCGTTGTGCGAGACAATGTTCGTGAATTTTTTTTTCCAAAATTGTACACTGTTTAGGGAAAACAAATTAAATATTTAATTACCAATTGCTTAATACTGGCAATCATCTGACCCATAGGTGGCAGCCATCTCAAGCCAGAGGACGAGAGGACTCTAGCCGCCACGCATATAAAGGATTTATAGTGAAAAACTTTGTTTTTACGGGTTATACTTATTCTGGCATAAGGTATTCCAACGGATTTTGGGGTGCTGATTCCAAATCTGCAATCGGTTTTTGTCTATCACATCAGGTTTTTGAGATATCAAATATTGCATTTTCAGTAAAAACTGCAGAAGAAAAATATTAAATAAATGTGTATATCTACATAAAATGACATTATAAACACACGATCCTAAAAACACAGCACCATATTTTAACACTAAAGCAGTCACTGACTCGTAACAACTTGCAATCATAAGTGACAGAGTTAATTTCAGGTTAAATCAATGAAAATGGGGTATGTCGATAGCATAAAAATGAGATGTGATAGAGCAAATCTGAGATCAGATTTGGAATCGGCACCCTGAAATTAGTCTAGAACAGCTGCAAAAGTCCAGGCCAGAAAAACATGTTTTTTTTTGTTGACCAGTGATATTTTTCTACCCACGTGACTTTACCGAAAGAACCAAGAAGATGAATCCCTGCAGTCACGAAAGCTTTAAATCGAAATTTGATATATAGAGCAGTTAATATTGTGATGGTATCACGTGGTAATGCTCCATCACGCGTTTTAAATCGATCACAGTGAATTTTGAACATAAAAAAATGTAGTCGCAATATCTGTCAGAAAAATCGCAGTGAGATATTTTCTCCCAAATCGTTGAGCCCCCCCCTCTCCCCCCTCCCCTCCCTCCCGCCCCCCTCCCCCCCCCGTCCGTCTTTGTCTCCCCCAGGCGCCGCGAGCCAGCCAGCACGACAGCGGCGTGGATCTCAGCATGGACTCGCACGGCTCCTCTGCCAACTCCTCACAGCGCAGCTCCCCATATGGCTCGGCAAAGTCTCCCGGTGGGGGCACGGGGGGGGGGTGGGGGGTGAGGTGTGGGGGGTGTGGGGGGGGGCACGTGGGAGGTGGGGGGGAGGTGTGGGGGGGGGAGGTCTGGGGGGAAGGACGTGTGGGGGAGAGGTGGGGGGGGGAGGGGGAGGTGTGGGGGGGACGTGTGGGGGGGGGGGAGGTGGAATACAGTCTTCCCTTGTTCATTCACAAACTCGCTATCACTCGCTCGCCCGCTCATTCAGTCTCCCACTCAATCACTCGCCCATTGACTCACCCGCTCATTGGTTCACGCGATGGCCTCGAGGTGCACCTAGCCTGGCACGAGAGCCGTAGTGGTGAATGGCGGGGGATGCCAGCGGCAGCCTTCTCGCCGACGTCACCGCCTCCTCCTCCTCCTCCTCCTCGTGATCATCGTCATCTTGGACCTCTTCCTTCTCTTACACCTCGTCAGTGAGCGCCCCAGCGTCGGCCAGCAGCTCGGACGATTCCAACTCCTCGTCCTCATCTTCAACCTCATCGACGGCATCGGCGGCGGTGTCGGTGTCCACCACCTCCTCCTCGTCCACCTCCTCGTCGTCCGCCTCCTCCTCGTCCGCTCTGCCCGAAGCCAAGGAGCAGAGAGCGGTGACGGTGACTCTCGGAGGAGACGCTCGAGAGGTGGGTGGGTGGGTCGGAGAGTGGGTGGGTGGGTGGGTGAGTGGGTGGGTGAGTGGGTGGGTGAGTGGGTGGGTGAGTGGGTGGGTGGGTGGGTGGGTGGGTGAGTGGGTGGGTGGGTGAGTGGGTGGGTGGTGAGTGGGGTGAGTGGGTGAGGTGGGTGGGTGAGTGGGTGGGTGAGTGGGTGAGTGGGTGGGTGGGTGGGTGGGTGAGTGGGTGGGTGGGTGGGTGGGTGGTGAGTGGGTGGGTGAGTGGGTGGGTGAGTGGGTGGGTGGGTGAGTGGGTGGGTGGGTGGGTGGGTGGGTGGGTGGGTGAGTGGGTGGGTGAGTGGTGGGTGAGTGGGTGGGTGAGTGGGTGGGTGGGTGAGTGGGTGGGTGGGTGGGTGGGTGGGTGGGTGAGTGGGTGGGTGGGTGAGTGGGTGGGTGAGTGGGTGGGTGGGCGGATGGGTGAGTGGGTCGGAGAGTGGGTGGGTGGGTCGGGTTGGTGAGTGGGTGTGTGGGTAGGTGAGTGGGTAGGTGGGTTTGTAATGGAGAATTGAGTGAGTGAGTGAGTAATTGAGTGGGTTAGTAGGTGGGTGGGTTGGTGGGTGGGTCGGTCGGTATTTGAGTTGTGGATGGATTGGCGGGCGAGCGGGTGAGTGAGTGAGCGAGCGAGCGAGCGCATTGATAGCCGTGTAACCCGCGCCGCGTTCGCATGACCCCTCCCCCTCCTCGCCGCCAGCTGGGCGAGGCGGTGCGTGTGGCGCTGGCCAGCGGCACCGGCGTGGGGGCGGTCTCGGGAGGGGGGGGTCCCTCCGCGGGCGAGCACCGGCCCGGCCCCATCGGCAAGGAGCGCTGGTTGCGCCAGCGGAGGTCGGAGAGGACTCCGCACGCAGCTGGCGCCGACGGCGGAGGGCACGGGCCTTGCGGCGCCACGCACTCGCCGCCCGCGTTCAAGGTGCCCGTCCGTCCGTCGCCCGTCTTGTCTGCGTGCGCGTGGTGCACCTGGCAATTCCTGCCCTTCGACCAACACCAGTAATGATTGTCTGAAGCGGTCCTGAGCCTCCCCTCGGTTGACTGGGCGGAAATGAGTAGCTGGTGCTGTGGTGTGTGTAGTGAACATCGCTACTGGGGAGGCAAAGGCGGTCGGGCGTGGTGTTGGCCACCCACCCTCTTGGACCTTGGCTCGCTAACAGCACTCGCCCCAACAGTTTGTTAGAAGCTATACGGGGGGGGGGAATTTTGTCTTTGTGTACCTCTGACCATTTCTGTGTATAATGACTGCCCGTGTCTTGTCGTGCAGAGTCCGGGATTCGCGTCTTCGGAAGACGTGAAGACAGCGTCTGGGCTGTCTGCAGCCGAGAGCCTGGGGCCCAGGGTACGATGGAGAGACGCGGGGGGGGGGAGACGCGAGGGGGGGGGAGAGACGGGGGGGGGGGGGAGAGACGCGGGTGGGGGGGGGGGGAAAAAGACGGGGGTGGGGGGGGAGAGACGGGGGTGGGGGGGGAGAGACGCGGGTTGGGGGGGGGGAAAAGACGGGGGTGGGGGGCGAGAGACGGGGGTGGGGGGGGAGAGACGCGGGTTGGGGGGGGGGAAAGACGGGGGTGGGGGGGAGAGACGGGGGTGGGGGGGGAGAGACGCGGGGGGTGGGGAGAGACGCGGGGGGGGGGGGAGACGCGGGTTGGGGGGGGGGAGAGATGGGGGTGGGGGGGAGAGAGACGCGGGTGGGGGGGGAGAGACGCGGGTGGGGGGGGAGAGCCGCGGGGGGTGGGAGGGGAGAGACGCGGGGGGTGGGAGGGGAGAGACGCGGGGGGGGGCAGGGGGGGAGAGGCACGAGGGGAGGAGCCGGTCTTCACTCTGACCACACCACCCACCCCCTCCTTCACGGGCACCACTACTGGCTAACAGCACTTGCCCCGATGGTCGGTTGAAGGCTACGTGGGGGACCTTTGTCTTTGTGCGTTGCAGGTGACGCTGCCCGGGGTGTCGGTGTCGCGTCCCGGAGGTTTGCCCTCTGACCTCGCCCACGACTCTCCAGCCACCGCCGACCTCACGCTCAAGGTGACGGGGACACGGGGAGAGTAGGGCACGGTGACACGGGGACACGGGGAGAGTAGGGCACGGGGACACGGGGACACGGGGACACGGGGAGAGTAGCGCACGGGGACACGGGGACACGGGGAGAGTAGGGCACGGGGACACGGGGAGATTAGGGCACGGGGACACGGCAGAGGTCGCAACCGGGTACCCGATACCCGTACCCTACCCGATACCCGGCTACCTGTACCCTGCCGGGTACGGGTACCCGTTTGCGACCCTGGTGCGGCCGGGTACGGGTAGGCCGTGAGTCACTGATGAGTAACTGTTTGTCACTCATTTCCCAACGCCTTGTCTTTTCTCACAATTCCAAGTTCCTAGAATCAACCCACCCGCGCCTGCAACATGGCTTCATCCCAGAGGTCGCAATCAGGTACTCGTACCCGTACCCTACCCGATACCCGGCCGGGTACGGGTAGCCGGGTATCGGGTAGGTTACGGGTACGGGTACCCGTTTGCGACCCTGGTGCGGCCGGGTACGGGTAAGGAATCAAAACCCGTTTGCGACCTCTGGGACACGGGGAGAGTAGGGCACGGTGGGAGCGTGGGTGTTGGTGTCACCCCAGTGTTGGTGCCATTATGTGATCGTCCTTTGTTCTGCGAAGATACCAGAGTGGCATGGGGTCAGTGTGTGGGTTTTAGTGAAAGTGTGGGTGATTGTGGGTGCGTGATTAAGTGGGTGGGCGAGCGAGTGGGTATGCGTGTGTCTGTGCATGTGTAAACATCGCCACCGGGGAGACAAAGGCGGTCGGGCGTGGTGCTGGCCACCACCCCCTCGTGTGCCAGTGCCGGCCTTCATAGGCGGTCGCTAACGGCAGTTGCCCCGGCAGTCTGTTAAAGGCTACACGGGGGATCTTTGTCTTTGTGTGGGGAGCGGTAGTGCAGCGGTTAGCGCGCCGCGCTATGAACCTGGCCACCCGAGTTACATTCCCGCTCACGGCCAACACCAGTGACGATTATCTGAACCGGTCCTGGGCCTACCCTAGGTTCGACTCAGCCTCAAATGAGTTCCTGGTGCGGTGTGTGGTAAACATCGCCACTGGGGAGACAAAGGCGGTGTGGGAAACCGACCCCCTCGTTTGCCGCAGCGCCGGCCTTCCTAGGAGCTCGCTAACAGCACTTGCCCCGGCAGTTTGTTAAAGGCTCTATGGGGGATCTTTATCTTTGTGTGTGTGTGCTCGCGTCCGCAGATGGAGTTTGCTCGCAAGGCCTGGGAGAACTCCCCCAGCCTCCCCCACGCCGCCCCCGCTCGCCCCCGCTCGCTCCCCCACAACACCACAACACCACCACCAGCAGCTGGCGCCGACGGCACAACCGCACCACCCGCACCAGCAGTCGCCGCCGCAACAACCGCCGCCCACAACCGTCCCGGCGGTGGGGGGCGGGTGGCGGTGGCGGGTGCCGCGACGATGGCCGGGTACGGCCCGTTTTGGCGCGGGAGCCGGGCCCATGCTGGTGCCGTCGCTGGCGCCGCCGTCACTGCCCGGTGAGTGGGGGTGCGGCGGTGTGTGCGGGTGCAATGCGGCGGTGTGGTGCGTGTGTGGTGTGGTGCGTGTGTGCGGTTGTGTGTGTGTGCGGTGTGTGTGCATGGTGCGGCGCTGGTGCGGTGCGTGTGACTGCGGGTGTGGTGCGAGTGAGTCGTGTGCGGCGCGTGCGTGTGTGCGTCCTTGTGGGGAGCGTGCACCCACAATACTCACCCCCTCTCACCCCCCCCCCCCCCCAGTGTTTGCGTCGTCTGCGGGGGGCCCTGCGTTCTACATGAACGTGGGCCACCTGTTCACGGCCCAGCCGCGCCTGCACCCTCCGCCCCCCTCGCTGGGCCAGACGGCCTCCTTCCAGCCGGCGCTCTCTCAGGTGACGCTGCTGCACCGCCGTGGGGGGGGGGCGCTAACACGGTGGGGGGGGGGCTACCGTGGTGGGTGGGGGGGCTAGTGATGCGTTCAGTGTTTCAGTGGAGTCGTGTGTTTGTCTCTCTGTGAGAGTGAAGGAGTGAGTGAGTGAGTGGAGTTTGTGAGTGAGTGAAGGAGTGTGTTGTCTCTCTGTGAGAGTGAAGGAGTGAGTGAGTGAGTGGAGTTTGTGAGTGAGTGGAGTTTGTGAGTGAGTGAAGGAGTGTGTTTGAGTGAAGGAGTGAGTGAGTGAGTTTGTGAGTGAGTGAAGGAGTGTGTTTTGAGTGAAGGAGTGAGTGAGTGGAGTTTGTGTGTTCTCCCTCTGTCCTGCAGAGTGACCGTGAGTGAGTGTGTTTGAGTGAAGGAGTGAGTGAGTGAGTGGAGTTTGTGAGTGAGTGGAGTTTGTGAGTGAGTGAGTGTGTTTGAGTGAAGGAGTGAGTGAGTGGAGTTTGTGAGTGAGTGAAGGAGTGTGTTTGAGTGAAGGAGTGAGTGAGTGGAGTTTGTGTGTTCTCCCTCTGTCCTGCAGAGTGACCGTGAGTGAGTGTGTTTGAGTGAAGGAGTGAGTGAGTGGAGTTTGTGAGTGAGTGGAGTGAGTTTGAGTGAAGGAGTGAGTGAGTGATTGGAGTTTGTGAGTGAGTGAAGGAGTGAGTGAGTGGAGTTTGTGAGTGAAGGAGTGAGTTTGAGTGAAGGAGTGACTGAGAGAGTGGAGTTTGTGTGTTCTCCCTCTGTCCTGCAGAGTGACCGTGAGTGAGTGTTTGTCATCGCCCTTGGTTCACAATGGCCGTGTGCGTGTCTGTGTGTGTGTGAGTGTGTGTGTGTGTGCGCGTGTGTGTGTCTGTGTGTGTGTCTGTGTGTGCGTGTGTGTGTGTCTGTGTGTGTGTCTGTGTGTGCGTGTCTGTGTGTGTGTGTCTGTGTGTGCGCGTGTCTGTGTGTGCGTGTCTGTGTGTGTGTCTGTGTGCGTGTCTGTGTGTGTGCGCGTGTCTGTGTGTGTGCGCGTGTGTGTGCGCGTGTGTGTGTGTGTGTCTGTGTGTGCGTGTCTGTGTGTGTGCGTGCGTGTCTGTGGTGTGCGTGTCTGTGTGTGTGGTGTCTGTGTGTGCGCGTGTCTGTGTGTGGTGTCTGTGTGTGTGTGCGTGTCTGTGTGTGTGGTGTCTGTGTGTGCGCGTGTCTGTGTGTGCGCGTGTCTGTGTGTGCGTGTCTGTGTGTGTGTGTGCGTGTCTGTGTGTGTGGTGTCTGTGTGTGTGCATGTGCGTGCGTCCGCAGCCGCCGCCGGTGCAGCAGGTGGCGTTCCCGGTGTACGCGTCGCGCGCGGCGCGGCGCCACCGCAGGACGTGTTCACCGGATCGCTCGCTCCCTTCCGGTATCGGCTCGCACAAAGACAAAGACGCACCCCCCCCCCCCCTTACCCGGATAGCCTCTAGCAGCAAGTGCCGGCACCCCCCCCGTCTCCCCGGTGCACCGGTTCAGATTTCACCGGTGCCGGTTAGCCGCGATGGGCAAATGGAGCTCTCAGGGTCGCCCAACGCTGATGTTTTTTTCACCCACCGCACGGTGGGGGGAGTGGGGGCCGGGGGAAGCAGGATAGGGGGGGAGGCATATTTAAGGCCGAGTCAACCTAGGGGAGGCGCCACTGCAGCGGGTTACAGATCGTCTCAGTCCCGTGGCCGTGGCACGGACTCGAACTCAGGGGTGAGAGGTCATAGGTTTGGTGGGGCACCGCTCGGCCAATCACAGACGCCGACCCTAACGCCAGCGCCGGCTCTGCCCTTGTGTGTGTGTCCCTAGTTCCCAACAGCAGGCTTACCTGCAAGGGAACCTGCATCAGCAGCACCATCAGCAGCACCAACAGCAGCAGCAGCATCAGCAGCAGCATCAGCAGCAGCATCAGCAGCAGCAGTCACCCTCAGCCCTGTGGTGCTGAGCGGAGTGCCAGCCGCTCTTTCTCTACCAGCACCACAGCGAAACCTCACGCTTACAGCGCCACTTGTGCTGCAC